TTTTTCTCCCCCCCCCCCCCCCCCAATCTGATATGAAACCGCCTCGGCTGAATGTCAAACATCAATTTTAAGTCTATGAAGTGAAGATGAGATCAGAAATCCTCCAGAATGTCAGCTTCCACCTGAACGGGAGGGAGTCATTTTCACCAGCCCCACGGAGAGACGTCCACTTACATTGTCAGGCGTGTGGCAGATGACTTTCGCATAGCAGCTGTGCTTCTCTCTGCCGGGCAGTGCCCACTCCAGTGGGCAGTAGGAGGTATGGTACACCTATGGGAGGCAAGATGGTTAACCCCAACCACCCGCTGTCCACTAGGAAGTTTGTCTTAAATTATAAGCTAATATTTCCCCCAGATAGTGTATAGAGTTACAACAGTGATCCAGTAGTTCATTCTGCAGAATTAAATAATCGATAAAAGGGGGAATTTAAATCAGGAAGTTGAGGAACAGATTTTTTTTTAATCATATCGGCTCTGGAAAAAGGATATTTGGCTTATTTCTAAACTCCGTTTTTAGTTGTCTTTGCAAACTCCTGACTGAAATGTCTGACTACGAAATATGGACCCAATACCTCAGAGATATGATGTAATACATAACCAATGATAGGTAGTAAAGTGAGAGATAAAACAGCGCTGCAGCGTTGTGTTTGCATCGTCATGACAGCGCAGGGCACCTCGACGTCGTCCTGTCCGTACTTCTTGTTGGCGGCCCCCTCTGACAGGCCGCAGGCCCCGTATTCCAACGGGGTGAAGACCGCGGTGGGCACGTTTGCGTAGTCACACTGCCGCACACACACAGACATGACAAATTCTTAGCTGCTTAGACAAGGTTACAAACAGAGCTAATTTGCTCAGCACGGTTAATTAGGAGACAGATTAGTTCTAAAACATTCCACGCACTGCGACTGAACCCAAGTAAACAAACTCCGGCCTTCCGTCCTGAGAGGCTGCAAGTTATTTTATCTGTAAGCTGATTTCCTACAGGGAGGCAGTTTAAAAGATAACCACAGGGAAACTGGAAGAACAGTCATCTGTCTGTGCCATAGCTGATTATATCCTTCATCTGTTTGAACAGTCTGCTAGCTGATCTGACCTTACCCCCCGCAGGACTCTGGACTCCCACGTGCCATCTGGGGATTCCATCCATCCACCGACCACAGCACGAAGAGCCCAATCATTGGCTTCTTATCAATTAAAGTTTCTCTCCCTTTAATCTTCCACATCCAATCACCGCGCTGCTCTAATGTGTGTCGGAACCAGGGGCGCCCAAGACTGTGCCTGAGCGTGCGTGAGTAATTGTGTTTTCCTAACAGCATCAGGGTAAATTTTAAGAAAATAACCTTCAAAAATAGCAATACTGGAAATCAGAGGCTTCCCAAGGAAGGAAAGACATCTTCCAAAAAAATTCAATGGTGCTGCAGTGAAAGTGAAGGTGTGTGTGTGGATTATGTTTATTTTACATTGTGGGGACCAAATGTTCCCCACAATGTAATAAAAACCTATTATTTTGATGTCGTGGGGGCCATTTTTCAGGTCCCCACAAAAATCTGTGAATGCAATCAAAAAAACTAAAAATGCCAAAAGTCTGGTATTTTGTTTGGTTAATTATGATTAAGGTTCAGGTTGAGTAGGGGTTAAGGTCATCATGTTGGGATTAGAATTCTCCCCATAGAAAATTTTAAATAAAAAAAAAATTATAAAAAAAAAAAAATCATTGACTGCAATCAAAAAACTAAAATAGTCTTGCATTTTGTTTAGTTACTTATGGTTAAGGTTAGGGCTGGTTAAGCGTTAGGGTTATGCCCACAGAAATGGATGGCGTGTCCCCACAAAGATATGAATGCATGGGATGTGTGTGCGTGGGTGCACATATGTGCGTGTGTGTCCCTGCCTTGGTGCTCCGCCCCCCATAGAGCCTCCGTGCCAGCAGCCGGCCCGCCTGAATGGCCACCGGCGTCAGCTCCAGCCGGCCCTCCTGCACGTCCCCGATGGCGAATACGTGACCCACGCTGGTCCGCTCGTCCTCGTCCACCGGGATCTTGCCGGTCCTGTGGACGGGAAGAATCACCCATGGATGACATAGTGCTGCCATCCAGAATCGCACCCCACCCACCAATCAATTATGGTACAATGCAGTAGTACTGCACTATTAGGGTACAATGCTTCTACTATTACTGTATTATTACAATAGAACGCACTTAGTATTTATTAGAAAATGGCAAATAAACCATCATTTCATTTAGTATTGCAGAATCACATTAGAATGCTTTTAGTATTACAGTAGTATAGTACAATGCATTTATTCTTACAGTATCACAGTAGAATGTGTTTAGCATTATAGTACTGTATTATAGCATTATAGTATTATAGCACAATGCTTCACTATTACAGTATTGCAGTAGAATATTATTGCAGTATTACTGTATAAAGCATTCCATATTTCACTTTTATAGTAAAATGCATTTAGTATTACAGTATTAAAGTAGAAATCATTCTTTTCTTGCATTTTAAGCATCCTTCCTATGTCAGATGCTGTATATTGTGTGTAAGTGTTGGCGTTATGAACTTCTGATGAGCAGGAAAAATATCTACAGGGTCAGGGATGCATTTCCACAGACTAGCCAGCTGTAATGGAGCCTCTGAAGGGGGTCGATTACGTAAGCGACACGTGGATAATCCAGGGCAGTAACCGATTACCTAAGTGATGCATTCCATCGCAGTCCATCCCTTGCGGGTTTTGGTAAATGCACCGTTTCCCAGAAAGTGCTCCTGATGTAGGTCCATTGGACAAACACTGCATTTATGAGTCTAATGGTCCCTTCTCTCAGGACGCGCCCCCCCCCCCCCCGCAGACCGCAGTGACCACCCGGGGCGTGCGCTCCCCTGAGCCGTGACGGACACAGCGGGGTGACTCACTGCTGATTGTACTTCACTCCGATGCGGTCGAGGCCGATGTTCCTGGTACAGGCGTCCCGTCCGATAGCCAGCAGCACCTGGGAAAACCACAAGGGATTCAGCAGCACTGCAGTCACTGGCTATCAGATCTATACAGTTGCTATATCTATACGACACCAGCTTCGAAAGCAGTGCAGTTTTCCTTTTCAGTATTATCTAGTATATGTTTAAAAAATTAACTTAACCTCTGCTGCATGCGTCCTCTGAGACAATCATAATAATATATAATAATAAAGATAATTCTCATCCTCGCTATTTAAATCACTCCTAGGCGAGTTTGTGAAAAATTTATGTTGTACTCCTTTTTTGCTTTATAAAAACCCCAATATTTATTACAACAAAATCACATCACGATATCTGAAAAATTTCCAATAGCGTGCTGCCCTAGTAAATATATATTTTTATTTTTTGTCATGTCATCCTGATCTTATTGTATCTGTTCTTCCGACCAGATTGTAATTAAACCTTGGATCTCTTCATTTGTGCACCCATCCAATATTATCCCTTTTTTTTACTTCATTTATCATTGTTTTCTGAGCTTGTAACTTTTTTTAATACAGAGGTTGAATTGTGTTTCAGAGGTGGGCTATTTGCACAACCAACTATTTCCATAACCAATCAAAAGAAAGTGTTTGCAAGTCCCGCCCCAAGATACCAAAGTACCAAAAAAGTACCCCAGCTGCTGGGAGACATTACCTGAAATATGTGAATTAGTGACCAATTTTACTGCCCCCCCATTCCTCATGCCCCATTAACTCACATCCCATTGGCTCCGGGCAAGGCATAAACCCTCGCACTCACAGTGTTGAACTCTCCTTCATATGTCTCCTTTCCATCGTTCGAGACGGCCGTCACTCTTAGCTTCCCCGGACGGCCATCTTGGATCTGCTCGATCTAAGAGGCACAAGCAGGTGAGGCAGCGATCACACTCCATCTACCTCTATATCTGCTGCCTGCTGCAGGGAGAAAGGAGACTACGTGTTTTTCATGATTTTTATCATTTGTTCATTTCAACCACCTACTCCAAATAGCCTATCCTTCCCACGTCTATTTGCTCCAGCCAATCACCTTTCGCTCTGGTGATTTCCGCCACTGACCTTGGTGGGAACAAAAGGCCGCAGGAACTGGACTCCGTGGAGGACCATGTACTCCTCGAAGCCCCGCAGCAGCACGGAGCGCACCATGACAGTGACCTGCAGGCCCAGTCCGGCCAGGAACCCGGCGCACTCCAAGCCGACATAGGATGCCCCCACCACCAGTGTGTGCCCCGGGCAGTGGTGCAGTGAGAAAAGGTCATCACTGGTTCCCCCAGAGATGGTCGGGGGGAGATTAAACCACAACACCAGGATTCTACAGCTCAAAAAATAAAGTTCTACCCTGCAGACTGAGATTACCTTTCAGTAGAGTCCAGCTAATTTTAAAATATCCACGGTTATGAGTCATAGCAACGCCTGTTTCAGAATCTTAAGGAAGTTACATCATCCCCAACTAACTTCTTACGCTCAGGGCTATAGACATACCAACTTTTACTTAAACCTACCAGGACTCATTTATACAGCAGTGGAAAAGTCTGCAGCATCATATCAAGGCCGGAACACTCACTGCCTTAAGGCCGCAGCCAGAGACGTGCATGTGGATGCAAACTACGCTGCCGCACTCCTGCACATTGTAGCCGTAAGTCAAGCGGCCACAGGGGGGCGCCCACACACCTGGTGATGCAGAACTCACGGTCTCCGGGGACGCCTGGGTATCGAGGTCGTTCTCCAGTGGCGATAATAAACACGGAGGCTGAGTGGCAAGTCTCCTTCCCTTGTGCGTCTGTCGCCTGGCAGGTGAAATTATAGACTGACTTCACTCGAGTTCTCGGTAATTTCTGATTCGTCACACTCAATCCGGTTAAAACAGAAGCTGGTTTCATAATCCAGCTCCCGGCCCTGTAAATGAGAAGCTTTCAGGCTCTCTCCGTAAGTGTACGGTTTGCCTCACTTTCTGTTCTCTCTCTGTACACATTTTATCTATCCCAAAGTTATTTCAAGAGTGTTACTCTTAGGAAAAAAAAAACACATCCCTTTATTTGCCCACCTCTTGGGCAACAGAAAGTAACAGGGGTGCAACTGTACACAAAATTCACAATTCGGTACAAGCCTCGGTTATGGGTTCATGGTGCGGTACAGCAGGGAAAACTGAATTTCTTTTGAATTTATTTAGCCTGTTATTGAGACTGCAAACAACGCAATTAGGAACAGTTGGAAACGATAGACAATGTGCCTGACAGTGTGTCTGGATAACAAAACTGAAGAGACACTTATTTGCACGCTGCAAAAACGAATGTGGCAAATAAATTAATCAAAAATATGACACCATAACAAACACAATAAACTAAACCCGTCTTCTGTACTGCCGAGTACGGTCACGTATCTGCAGCGATAAATACCCCTATAGCTGTAATTATTATTGTTATTTGTTTTTAGCCCGGTCTGAATTTCCTGGCAAAGCGCCTTAGATGCCAGAGGGGGGGGTAAATCGCAGAGGCCCTTTCTGCCTTGCTCCCATCGTACATGTTGCCCCCCATGAGTTAGATGTTACATATCCAAGCTGAAAGACAACTCTGGCCTTATTGAACATTCTCTCTCCAGTATTAATATAATTCACTGCGTATTCCCGAACCTCCAATTATGTCCGTACCTTATCGTTTATAGTGAATCGTGCGTTACTGAGGACAATTTGCTGCGCATGCATAGTGCCTGGACAGGACATACACCTAATGATGATTGTAGTTTGTAATTTTTTTTTTCTTTTGTTAAACTGTACCCTAAGCAGTGTTAGTCTTATTTTAAATGATGAAATCTTATTATTCTAAAAAAAAATTAATCTTTCTTACATTGCATTCTTTCACAATGTGAGTGTTATGTGTTGTGTGTTACTGGACGTGTCACATTATACATCGCACCTCAAATGCCCCACACCTAGGCAAATTCGGTCTCCCCCACTGTCAGTCTCTTTCCAAAGCCACTGATTGCGCATAATGAACCAATAATATAGTACCAAACAGCAGACGGCGATTCCGAGGCCCCCCGCAGCCCGTGTTCCTGCTGTCTGGTCACCTTGACAACATGCGGGGTCACCAGCTCCCCGAACGCGTTCAGGTATGCCACCTTGCCGTCCCGCAGCTCTTGGCGGCAGCTGAAGTTCAGGGCCTTTATGCGCTTCTGGACGGCCGCAGTCATGCAGCTCCAGCAGTGTGACACTGCAGGGAGGGGGAGGCAATCATGCAGACCAATGCAGCAAATTATACACATACAATTACAGGAAACCTTTCCTGAGACAGACGTAAACGACAGATCGCAAGTATATTTTAGTGATATAGCTAACCCCCCCCATACATACACAGGTGATTTATTGTGCCCTCTGGGATTTTGAGTTTAGCTGGCACATTACTCAGTGACCAAACATCTCATTACATCATCACGTGCTTCACATGTGATGCACATGCTGACATCACTCTGTGGTGGTTTCCTGCATGAACAACACAAACTGAACCAAAATACAACAAGAATTTGATGGAAGATATAAAACAAATCACACCCTCACTTCCCGCAGCCCTACACCCCATTATCAAATAAATGAACCTGTTGTATTCTTTCTGAAATCATATTTATCTACTTCAACATGATATTTGCACGTTTCTAATTTATTTGTTATCAGGGAACAACTAACTCTTTTAATTAAGAGGAGCAAGACGTACAGTCAGTTTTAAGAGATTAATCTCTGCAATTACGCCTTCAATCTGCTCCCGATGCTACAGTTAATTGTTTGAATGGTGAATGAAAGCACACCTGTAAGCACCCCGTATCTGAGCCGTGGGACTAATTACTGGATCTAAGCCCAGGATGCAGATGGCGCCCCCTGCTGCTCACCCTGTTGTTCGAACTCCCAGCCAAACCTGCGGGAATCCTGCACCGCCTGGCCCAGCAGGGCAGCTTGATGCATTAGCTTTTTGGGAATGCAGCCCACGTTCACACAGGTGCCACCAAGTCCTGGGGGGGGGGGGGTACGTGGCATGAAATGCGCCGCTCAATGTCAACACGCCAGGTGGCTATTCGGCGATACCGGCGAGATGCAGAGGTTTCCAGTTTCCATGGCCGGTGGCACCCACCCCATGTGGTTCCTTTAGGAGAAGGGGTCACGAGGTCAAGGACGAGGACCTTCTTGGCAAAGCTGGCAGCTTCCTGTAAGAGGAGACCAAAATGGGACCGGCGATGAGCTGAGAGACTGTGACGTCCTCACATCCTCCTGCGTTTGGCTGCTCCCAGACAACATAAGAACAAGCTACTTTTATGTTATATTTTATCAGCACAAAAACTAAGCCTGGGGTATTAATATACAGTACTGTGCAATAATCGTAGGCAGTCACCGAAAATGTTCAAAGCTATTTCTCAGGGTAGAAAGTGTATATTTCTTCAGAACAAAAAATACAATTTAACATTAGAGCATATTCAAATTAAGTGTAACACGATAAACAACTAACACCGCTTCAGGTTCCAAAGCTCCCCCCAGGGGGCACCGCAGCCATTTCATGGATTCGTTAATTTGTTCATTTTGATTTTTTTTTTTTTTTAAATCATGAAGTATCGATTAGCCTTGCAAGGAGGTCAAGTCAGGAAATAATCAGCTGTGTTTAATGGTTGCTGCAAATGTTGGGGTGACTTTGGAAGAGCTGCTGATGTGGTTAAGCGAACACACTTTGACAGATGTAATAAAGACCAACACGAAGATCATTTTCCTTTGGCTGCCAAAGACTTTTGCATGTACCGTATACATTTAAGTAGAAGGCAGAGAGACAAACTGAAGAATCGTGTTTGGAAGATGCAGGCAGACTGAGACTGAGTGTATGGGAGAGCACTGCACTACTGAGACCCCGGGTGCGAGGGCGATGGGGGGGGGGGCACCTTGGCTGCAGCCAGGCCTCCAGATCCACCACCAATCACCACCAGGTCGTAGTCGTACCCGTCTTCAGAGAGACTTCCCAGCTCTGTCCTAAGGAGCCCCATCAGCGTCCCGTCCCTGTGCATCTGGGGGGGGGGAACCATAGTAATGCGACACACTGCTATTCCCTCACATTCCTGGGAATTCTGCTGCAATCTTTGGGATGGAAGTCAATCTTTTGGAATATGTTGAATATGGTGTCTTTATATGACGGGCCAGTCAGAGCACACTAGGTCACGCACACTAATTGTGATCCTTGGGGACACCTAGGTCTCGCCATCCTCCGACATCCCTGTGGGTTAGTCAACTGACAAATGTGACCCAGCATGGGGCCTGAAATCCTCTTCATCCTTTTAAAGCGTGCAGGGCTAATCCAGATCTCTGATCATGGTGGGGGGGGGGGGGTTCCCACGTAGAGGGGCTTTGGGGAGAGCCTTTGAGCATCGTGAAGGCCACATGAAGCTCGCCACCCCAGTGCCATGGTAAGGGTAGTCTCGTCCTGGCAAGGATACCCACTGACGGTCAGCAGGAGGATTTAGAAATTAGCTTCCCTTGATTTTTCAGTGTGGGTGTGAGTCAGGCCAGATCTGGAGAGCCGACAGACAGCATACGCTCCGTGTGTGTAAATGGAGGACCAGCTAAGATGAACTCCATCCAATAATGTCACACGGGGACGAAACAAACACTTGTATTTTTATCATTTTTCAGATATGGCAAATAGCTCCAAGCATACCACAACCCTGGCCAGGATAAGTAGTTTGAAGACAGAAGATAATGTAATTATCCATCAATCCATCCATCCTCCAACTGCTTATCATGGTCAGGGTCACTGGGGGGGGGGGGGGGGGGGGGGGGGGGGGGATGGTAGGCTGGAATATACATGTCATTTTATAACTAATGCCCTGCTTACCCACACTTTCTGCATAAATTAAAATGGAAATCGACACTAAATACATCACACAGTCAAGTTAAAACCACTCGATTATTATACTGAAAAGGGAATGATACGAATATCAAAATAACGAAATGAAAAATGTAACCTTGTGAGTTACCTGGAATATTTTTTCTGCATCTCCGAAGTAGCTCTTGTTCACAAACACTGCGGGCAGTGATCTTTGCTGTGTGAGCTGCCACAGGGCATGCTGGACTTCCTGTTTGTCCCCTGAAATCACACAGACACTGACAGCATGTCCAGACCACTGGACTTCCTGTTTAGCCCCTGAAATCATGCAGATGTCCAGACTGATGGACTTTCTAGTTGTCCCTTGAACTCACACAGACACTGTCAGCAGACCACTGGACTTCCTGTCTGTCTCTTGGAATCACACATACCATAACTCTCTTACAGGCTGTCCACACTTCTAATAAAACACACTGTAAATGCTGCAGCAACTTTTTGAAATTTCTTTTAACTGCTGCCAGAAAGCCAGTTGGATTCACACTTACAATGTTTAGAATGAACATCTGTCCAAGTGAGAAGACAAGCCAGTAAAATCATTTTCAGCATAAATGTACATTTAATGAGCACACGGGGAAGTGAGACTGTTATTACACGCACGTCTTTCCTTTAAAGGGATGACGATGGCGGGCAGCACGGAACGCCGCAGAATTCATTACCCTTTTATCCTTTTTTACAAGTGCAGATTACCTCTTTGATCCAGCTGCACAGTGAAGTAGGAGGTACCAGCCAGTGTGAGAGCCTCGCTCACCTACATAAAAGGAAAGGCATCGTTGTGTCTCAGAGCACAGCTGGCATCGTGGGCTCTGCCCCCCACCTACCCCCACCCCCACCCCCAGACCCTCTGAGTACTGGAATGAAAAGGAGACAACATTTTGAAGTGAGCTAGTGTGGCTCAGAGCACAGATTACGTGGGAAGACACATCGACCGGGGAACATGAGAGTACCACTGGCCCAGAGGAGGGGCGTTACAAGCAAGATGCCATCTGCAATTAGACGAAAACATTATTTCCACACAAGGGTGGCCTGCCGGCTTAGCGGGTAACCCTGCCGTCGCACACCTCCAGGGCTCAAATTGGCACATAGGCATCTTTAAATTGCCCATAATTGCCAATATGTGTGTGAGCATGGCAGAGGAATGGCATCCTGTCCAGGACGTTCTCACGCCTTACGCTGAGTAATTCCCAGGATATGCTCCAGAATTGTTTACTGGATAAGTGGTTGTAAGATTTATTAACCTGTGGATGGATTTACGCACAGAATGTTTTGTAAAATTAATGGGAATATAGGAAGGGCCAGGGTTCAAATTTCATGAATTTTAATGGGAGGGAGGATGTTCCCTTGAAGGCTTTCGCTATCCAAGGTCCCTTGCAACACGTAAATATCTATACATACTACTGCAGCCATTATTTCGAATTCTCCGTTTTTACCTGGGCATATCGTGAGCAGGTTGTCGCGGTGAAGATGACCACGCCGCCCTTGCAGAGATAGCCCTCCACAGCCTCTCTGCCATCTTTCAGCTGCGGCTGAGGTCCAGCCACAGCTTCTTCCGAAAGTCGCCCGGCCGAAGCCTTCGGACCCTCCGCACCTGCAACGATGCACGGGCAGGGGTAGCGAGGCCCGCTGCGCTGCAGTCGAGAGTCTGCCGCTAATTTATTAACGGATTAAGGGATTTCTTTTCTGAAAAATAGTGTGATTTTTGGCTTGGTAATTCTTCCCATTCTTTAAAAGCCTTTTAAAATTAAGCATCCATGGTAGTGATATTAGATGCGCGTCTGTAATGACTGACTGACAGCCCAATTTGAGAACATACCTAGGCGAGGTATTAGGTTATATTTACAGAGACTATATTAGTGTAAAGTCAACTGTTTCAATGCGGCGTCGCATTTTAGTTTTTATGGTATCTGGCTTAAGTATGTGACAAGTGATGCCAACTGCGTAAAAACACCTGTCATACGTCAAGGTACACCTTCCTCAACAAAATTTAACCCGAAGTAAGATTATCTGATTAAATGTTTACCAGCTAGCTCACATACAGCAGCATATATATTTTCGTTAGAGTGTTCTCTAACAATGCTGCATTTGTATTAAGGCTTTCCATCTAAGAATTATAAATGACGGTTATTAAGCAATGTAATTAAAACTTTGCTTAGGCTACATGTTATATCTTCTTACAGATAGGCTATATTATAATATGTAATACATTTTACATATCGAATACTATACTAACATGGGCCTAAAAGTTACTTTATAAACTTTCTAATGCATACAGTACATTACAAAGACAAACATTTAGAAAACGAATATTCTGAAACTTTAAAGCATACATTTGTATAATTCCGGAAATTTTGCAAGTAACAAGCATTTCATGCACGACTATGCACAAATTAAATCGTATCAAGCTCCCATTTAAAAGTTAACCCGCCCCACTGTCAATTCTACATTTCAGGTAACCTGATCACCCACCTAGTGCGGAGTTCTGCACGCTTTTGATTCGGCTCTGGTCCACAAATACCGCAATGCCCTTGCGAACCGAATTTCCCATTCCGCAGCTATTTTTGGCACATGTTCTGGCACAAATCGTTTCAATTTACAATATTAAAAATCCTTCACAACTCAGTTTGGGACTTTTGACGAAGTCCGTTACAAAATAGAAAAATAATCAATGTAGGTAAGGTTAGATTTACGTCAAAGTACTCGTATCCACAAATGATATGCTTGCAAGTGGAAAATTTCAGCTGTAAGCGTTGGTACAACCTTTCTTTTATCCATACAGGTACCAAGCCGTTGTCTGAATAGGTTATTCAACCTTAATATCTACCCCATTTCATGCACATCGCCGACTGATCCAGAATCAGTACGTATACCAGTGTACCGTAATTGCAACCACTACATAATGAGCGAAAAAGGGACAAGTCCTCCTTCACCGAGGTGAATTGGCGACATCTAGTGGTAGACTCAGATAGCCATTTGACTGGCGCATACCTTAACTACAATATACAGTATACAGCGCACAAATTATTTCTGGCATATTCAACTCCTTTTGTAATTTTATATAGTTTTGAGGATTTTTTAAAAGGCTGTAAGAATAATCTCCCAAGGAACAGCCTCAAGTAACACTGTCATATTCCACATAAAGGGTGATAGGAATCTACATATGTTTATGAATCAAATCAAATTGACCTCCAGACAAAAGGAAGCGATTAACTTTGACTACCTAGTAAAAACAGTGCACATCAAGGTTTGGGATATATTAAATGACAAGCTAACATTCAGTACTCATATTCAACATGCTGAATGCAGAAGGAATGGGCAGGGGGTAAAGCTCTGAGTGACCTTGGCAAGAACCAAATCATCATGGCCAGATGACTGGGTCAGAGCATCACTGAGATGGCATGGCTTGTGGGGGGCTCACGGTCAGCCATGGTGGGTACCTACCGTGAGTGGTCCGAGGTGGGCCACAAACTACTGCCTGGGTGTTGAGTGGTCAGGACTCATCAATGCAGGATGTTCTGTGTTACAAACCAACAGAAGGGCTACTGTGACACAAATAGCAGATAGTTTTGATGATTACAGGAGTAATGTGTTGCGACATACAAGGCATCGAGCCCTGTTGCGTATGGGGCTACATAGCCACAGGTCAGTCAGTGTGCCCATGCTGGCCTGTTTGCCGTCGATAGCACCTACAATGGACAAGGTTGGAACTAGACCTTGGAGCAATGGAAGACGGTCTCCTGATCTGATGAATCCTGTTTTCTGTTGCATCATGTGGACAACCAGGCAGGGGAGTTTCTAGCTATTGAAAAGATTAGGAGTTAAGTCAGATTTACCTGGTGCTTGACATTCTGTTTTTTCTGAAGGAAGATTGGCACTTGGGCTAAAATACTCAGGTGATGGGCCCTAAGGACGCCCATACATGTGCTGAGCACCTATCGGATACATTGGACCAACAAGTTCAATCCACGGCCACTTAGGTCTATATAGCAGGGCCCCATGCACAGTGCTTCACATGGGGGGCGGCGGGGGGGGGACATCGGTGTATATCAGTCAGTGATCAAATAAGTTTACATGGCAGCAAGTAGCATGAAGGTCAATTACATTGGCTTTCACGAATAAATGGACTGGTTAAAGCTTATTTGCTTTATAATAAGCCAAATAAGCTTATTTGGATAAAAAAAGCCAGCAATTTAAACAAAACAAACATATAACAAGGATATAGGCAAGAATGGGGCACTGAAAAGAGGACACGTTACATTGTATATAAAAAAAAACACAGTGAAGAAGCGAGGATGTATGATAAAGGTAAAAATACATAACAGAATAAAAGTATCCTGTCCCCGAGTTAAAAATATTTTTAGAGATACAATGTTCGCAAAGGCAGGAGTACAATAAAGGAATTATACTGTATACAAACGTTAAACTTCCCTTAAGGAAATAAATTGTGTACTCAAGAGAAATCCAAACTGAAAATGTGTGTCCCTTAAACTAGATATTGGGCCATGTCCTACACGTGCTTATTGAATGAATCTTTTAAACAAAAGAAATTCTCAATCACAGCCAGGCACGTCGCCATATAGTAAAATAACGAGCTTGAAAGCCCCTCGAAATACATCTCTGGCTACAGGCCTGGTCACAGCACTGACGTTCAGTTTGTTACCATCGTAATGGGTTATTCATCGTTTAGTTCGTTCACGTAAGAGGTCAATGAACTAGATGATGTTCAGCACTGAGATGGCTTGTATTTCACCATCTTCTGATGTACTGATACACAGAGGTCTGAAAAGGTTAGTATATGCTGTACAACGTAATCAACATTGAACCTAATATACAATAAAATATACATAACAAATAATAAACATTTATAATATCAATTACATATATAATACTTAATATGTACCCTACCCTCGGAGATATACATACTACTAAACGAACTATTTCACGATTCTGAACGAAATGAAACGAATCTATTCACTGCAAAGAACCACGTTTCCATCTGTGCTCTTTACCACAGTCAAATCACAGGCTGTAACAAAGGCGCTGCTGTGGGCAAAAGGCGAGACTGTGGCGGGACAGCGGCCCCTGGCGGCCGGAGGGGTGCGGGCGCTAAGACGCGCGGCTCCGCGCTGGGACTGGTTCTTTCGCAGCCATTTTCCGTCCAACCAAACGGCCGTTTGGAGAAGGTAACCAACCAGGGCTGCATTGCAGGTTTGTGTCTTTCTCCGGCCAATGATTGCTAACCGATTTCTCGTTAGCTCGAATGGAAATGTCCGTCTCCGACTGTCTTTTTTATTTGTTGTCGGTGTGAATCAGACATTAGCGGGAGGAAGTATTGAGGGGAGATCGGAATTAACAAAGTTTCTGCGTGACGCCATGGTGTCAGTCCGGGTTTTGGCGACACACAGCAGGCCCGGGCTTGATGCACGGGCATTTCATTGCCAGATCTTCATCTGGCGCCGAGCAATAGCGACTGTTTTGCACATGGACGGCTAACACGGATGCACGGTTATTTTATACGCTTCTGTTTGACCGAAAGGGCGACTGGTTGAAATGTGAGTCCGTTTTTAATGATCCCGTGCTCACTGTGTCTATGTCTGGATGTGTTCTCCCCGTTTGGGGGATCTTGTAAACGTATAGCCCATTTTCCGGGCTTGGTGGTCAGCTAAGGGTGCGAAATTGACGTTAAACCACGTAAAATGTCTCACGGTTAAAGCTCGCTTTATTTTTTTTATACCCCCGACCTTCCTAACAGTTTCAGGTAGCTGCTATTTTAGCTAGCTTGTGACAATTGCGTATAATTGGCTGAATCATCGGATTTTTAAAATGCATCTAATGTTTTAAATCTTTAAAAAAAAAAAAAAAAAAAACAAGGCACAATGGGCGAAATGTAAGCCGGGTTACTGGAAATAAGCTTGCAGTCGGCGCCCTCGTTTAATGTATCTGTTTACGCGCTACGTCGCACGATCCCTGCAGGGCGGCGTGGGAACAAAGGCGGTGCAGGAGATACGGGCGCCCTGTGCATGCAAGGACCCTGCTGCACTCATCCATAGCATCGCCCATAAGCACACGTCCGACTATCCTTTACTTCCATCAGCACCGAAAGCGTTTGCACGGCGTTAACCCGCCGCGGGCAAAACTTTAAGCGACCCGGGACGAGGTGCTGGGTGGTGTTTTTCTTGACTGATAAAGGGTAGTCACCGAGCGCCGAAATGCTGTTTCCGCAGATGGACGGAGATAGTTCGACCACGGACGCCTCCCAGTTGGGCATCACTGGAGAATACATGCAGTCGAGCCACTTCGTGCTGCAGTCCCCGGATGGTAAGGATTATTACCGGGTTATTCATCTCGTAACCAGCTGCTTTGTCTTTGAAGGGAAAGGGGATCACTCTGATGCCACGGGGGCCAGCGGATATAAGCTGATCTGTTGTCATGGTGTATGAAAACGAATCCTTATTTAGAGCATGTTTTCAGTTTATTTGAATGTACTGGAAAAATCTGAATATAATGCAGGGCAGCTGTAAGATATATTGGTGCTGAGCAGAAACTACTGAATGTTTTGCCCACAGTATTAAAGTAACGGGCCGTTTAGGTTCTGTGTGGCAATTTCTCACATCTTTTGCATGCGCCCTGAAGATGATGGAGAAGAAGGGATGAATGATCACGAGGATGGCAATGGCAGCAAGGATAACCTGCGCGAACAGGATATCTACCTGCCCATCGCCAACGTGGCCCGCATCATGAAGAACGCCGTCCCCCCAAGTGGAAAGGTACCCCTTCCGGAGCTCGTGTTAAGTGTTGCGTATGTGACCTGCGGCAGCCTGTTCCTGACTTGTCTTGGACTTAAGTAAGCTATTTCCCCATCTTCCCCTTGCTTGCTTTGGGAAAGCCACAAGAGGGCGCTACACCCTCAGATCAGAACATTGATACCACGTTCCAAAGTTAACTGGCCCGTTGGATTCACTTACCCAGCTTGGCTTCCTCATAGAAGGTGCTGCTTATTACTCAAATGCTAGGAATTCCTAGTCCACTGCTGTTTCTGCTAGGGAAAGTAGAAAATAAGGCCTGCAGTTGTCCCTCAAACCTCCACTATGGAGAAACGTTTGTAGATGTCCGTCTATCTCCATTCCCGACAGCTGCCCCATGTTAACTCCTAAATAAGCAATAATAATACAGGATTTAAACTAAGTTTGATCTGCCGGTGTTTCCCCGAAGAATTCCAGAAACGTCCTCGAACGTCTTGATTTGGTGACCTTTTGATCACATGGACGGGTTCATCACTGCCGCTCTTCCTGCTTCCACTGCATCCCCACCACGTTTCTCCCCAGATCGCAAAGGATGCGAAGGAGTGCGTGCAGGAGTGCGTGAGCGAGTTCATCAGCTTCATCACCTCAGAGGCCAGCGAGCGCTGCCACCAGGAGAAGAGGAAGACCATCAACGGGGAGGACATCCTGTTTGCCATGTCCACTCTGGGCTTCGACATGTATGTGGAGCCACTGAAGCTCTACCTGCAGAAGTTCAGAGAGGTGTGCAGAGTCCTCGCTCCTCCTCGTCCTCTGATCACAGCAAACTGGGTTTACTCCTCTTACCCTAGATTTTACTTGCTTTTTAGATTCGATCAGAGGGGGAAGGTGTTTAACTTTTGTGTGACAAGAAAATCTTGAATAGATATAAAGCCCATGCTTACGCCCATAGCTGTAGATCAGTGTTTCCCAATCCGGGCCTTGAGGACCAGCAAGACAGTATGTTTTAGCCCCCAAATGTGGACTGTCTGGCAGGGAGCTGGGAGGAAGCAAAAATGTCGACTGTCTGGGAGGGAGCAAAAACGTGGACTGTCTGTGGGTCCCCATGGACTGGATTGGGAAACACCGCTGTAGAGATCTTGTACACTTTTGTTGACTTGGGAATCTACTTTCTCCAAAAGAATCCCCCCCCTTCCAGTTTTCTTTTGGTTCATTCTTTAATCTGGAATTTGAGATTCATTTGAGGATGTTCCACTCTGGCTGTTGTCCAGGCGATGAAGGGGGAGAAGGGGATTGCGGCCGGGCCGGTGTCAGAGGGCATTGGAGAGGAGCTCGCAGACGACAGCTTTGGTGAGTGGACACCTGCCCGTGTAAATCCGTCTTGTCTGAATGCCGGGGGGTGAGGTCCTTGTTGCTTAAAAAGTCCCATTGTAAAGCGAGGCCTTCAATTCCAGCAAACCAGCTGCCTGCAGGACTCATAACAACTGATGGACAAACTCAGAACGTGATGGTCTACACCACATCATATCAGCAGGTGAGACGCTATACAAGCGATCCTGGGGTCAGGAGGGGTACGGTCTTGTTCGGCTGTGGTGGAGGGTTTCCAGAACCTTCCATTCACCTCTCAGCCATTGGATCACAGTGAACAAGCCAACGGCCTCTTTTTTACTTCTTGCCCGCGTGCAGATCCCGGGAGTGCAGCAGATCCAGTTTTCGTGACGAGATGTGACTCGTCCTCACGAGCGCCGAGATCCATCCCGGGAGACGAGGCAGCAGCTGGATCCTGGGCGGTCAATTCAGGCATCACTTGAGGAGGGGGGGAGGGGGGCACTTTTATACGGGTTGGTAGAAGCCTGTAAATTTCAGTCCTTTCACAAAATAGTAAGTGTGAGTTGCCTTCAAACTGGGACTAAAAGTCAGTTGGCAGGTCAGTAGTGGTTTTTTTTTTTTTGATAATCGAGTACTTAGTTTGACTATTTCCATTGCTCTGTTTTCTACGTTGCTGGTTTGGAGTTTTATCCAAGTTTAGGATGTGGTGTTGGGATTGCAGGGGTGTGATGAAGGAAGGGTGGGGGGGATTACATGTCCCTGTTTATGTTTAAAAAGAAAAAAAGCATTTCCTCTCTAGATGAATAGCGAGGGGGTGAGTGCTCTTAATTTGATACAGAATTTTTGTAATTTGAGTGAATATACAGTGTGGTTTAATAAATTCTGAGACACCTCAATCTCACTGCTGTGTTTTTGGCTTATAGTAAGGTTTCGGGTAACAGTGACACCAAATCTTCCTGCATGATGACATTGTCACAGCCATCACACCCGAGTATCTACTGTCTAGAAGATCCAGACTGGAATTTCACATCTGTTCACAAAAAAATGCCTGCTGGGGATTGGGGGGGGAATCTGAAGTCAGTTTGCTCCATAAATTGTTAATTTCAAGAGTACAAAAGTGACATGAAACAAGGCATGAGGCTTTATCAAATTTATTGTTTTTCGTGATCAAATATTGATACGTTACTTGCGCTGGCAAGAGCCAGATTCAGGTCGTGTCCTGTTTTACATTATTTTTTTCTTTCTTTGCGCAAAATAGTTAATACGCAGCGTCGGTGGATGGCAGCAATCCTGAAAGAAAACTATACCTGCATCGTTTTGAATTCACTTATGGATGATGACATTGTCTTCAACACCACTTAGTTCACTGTGACATCGGGGTTTAAACAGCGCAGATCCACCGCCTAAAATTAACGGAGTACATACACACACGTTCACCGAGTGACTATACAGCTACCCCGACGTTTGAGAAACTTAAAGTAACGAACTAAGGGGGAAGCACCGTCTGATCGGAGCCACGGGACGGAAGGGGAAGTTTAAATTGTGGCTTGTCACATGCAGCCTTCGGCTAGGAGAAGCGTCTCTGTGGCTTCATACAGCCTCCATGGAACTACCGCAGATTTCAAACATCCTGTAACCTCAGATAACCACTGACAACAAATAATCAGCTTCAGGGGAATAGAAACATGGCAGGACACCTGTCATTAAGCCCATCTGGTTTCATTATGTGGAAATCAATTGATAATAAATGAAACTGGCATCCCCGTTGTAAGTTCACAGATAACGGATCGGCGAGGGGTTAAAACAGCCTAGGAGTACCATCCAACCGCAAGACAATGGCGGTCAGGGCTACCCCTTCCACACGGAAACCTCAATCGACCAACAAAACAAGCCTTTTAAACCTTTAATGCTGTGTTTACATGCGCGTTCTCAGTAATACGGAAATACACAGATTCTAATAAAAGTCTCCAGTCTCTTGGCAAAAGTAAACGTCCGCACGACTACACTAACAATTAAGGTGCCTGATAAATACGAATGATTAAAACTGCACAAACCGCAGCCCTTTTTTAAAACTTAAACTGCACGTCGTCCCCCCCCCCCCATACGATCAACCTCCATGCTTAACGAAAACATAACTGGCACATATAGCAAAATAGTAGGTCTACTTCTACCTGCTCAGAGTAAATAACCAAAGCTAAATTTATAAACGGAATTTGACTGAAATCTCTTATTGCACGTACGTACAACTAAATACGATAGAGAACCGCTGAAAAGTGAACAGCGCCCCCCACAGGAATATATCCCCTTGATTGACCGCACGCAGGAATAAGAGGTTCTAGGCTAGAACAATTCATGGCACAACCTAACAACCTTGCATCCACCGGTGCTCAAATCGTAACACTGCATATAATCCAGTGACTCTCATACGATAAGTGCACCGTGCAGGTTACCCAGCAAACAATCCCGCTGCACGATAAGGCACAAAAAAATTTAAAAGCACACATAACGGAGCAATTGGTTCACCAATCAGATGCCACTTCTTCTCCATTTAACACAGGGTTACTCTATTATCGGGAAAATAAAAAATCCAGCGGGTTGTAGTAGTGTAACGTGCAGGGGTGGTAAACCTTATGCGAGAAGGGCAACGCTGGTCAGTGGTGAAATGGAAGAGGACAACCAGTCTATCATTCTGACAAGCACAAGCTCTGCTGAAAGGAAATTAAATTAAAATACAGGTGACAGACGATTAACGCCACCGATCGTGTTCGTACACGCAACATATAAAAACAGTATTTAAAAACTTGTTGCAAAAACCTAGCAATACGGTCCACGATTTGGCAAGTTTTCTTTTAAGGTAGAGTTCAAAACCAGAAATAAACATTGCAACTGCATGCCGAAGTGGATGTACGTGATGCTGCGGCTTGTTTAGACGAGGATAAACGGGAAAATGATCGCGCTTTCATCCTCTCCAAAGCACACAGCTTACAGACTCAACGCATTTCCAACTTTCTGCTTCCCGTATCTCACTGGCTTCGCATTGTTACGCCGTCTGCTTGTATTTGAATGCAAAATTCGTCGGCATCCAATGACAAAATTAAAAAACCTGACAAATTAAACTCATGATCACTTAGAATGTTCCGGTGAGCATTAATCGCGGGGCGCTATTACTGAGAGGTAAATTCAAACATAAAAACAACAGGGATCCTACAGCAAACGCTGCTTGAGCCCCTATATATCTGCTTCTTTCCGATTATGGGCTGGGATTCTTGTCTTGGCTCCATCTCCTTCCTTCAGCCACCACCTTGTAATCTCTGCACAGGCAGAGACAGCATGGGGCTCGGAGTCTGACTTCCCCAGCAGGGGGCGCTGTCCTGAAATATTCAGTCGGGAGCCTACCTACGCCCAGTGGCACGCGGTGAAAGCAGTGGGCAGTCTGTACCCTGCAGCCACCGGATCTGCGTGGCAGGACCGTAGCCCTGCTCGTTCTTGGCGGCGATGCGGAGGACAATGGCAGGACGGCCCGAGCAGTCGATGTAGGCATTGCTCAGGTGCGTCTGGGTGACGTTGCAAGCAGTCTTGATGCCCCGATATATCCGGATGAAGTCTAGCGGCACAGTGGTGCTGTTCGAGCGGGACTTCCGGACTGCCAGGTACATGGAGTATTCCAGGATTTTTCCAGATGGGGAAGTAGGCGGCTCCCAGGTGATATGCACGGAATCAGTTGCCTAGAATGGAAGATTGGGGGGAAAAATTGGAAAATGGTTTCCATTATTATTATGGAAACCCATCTTTTAATGTTTGTGTGAAATAGGTAAAGAAATCCGACATCAAAAAAGACAGAAATTATACAGTAGCTATACCTTTGTGATTTTGACAGCAGAGGGCGCTCCAGGAAAGCCAGGTTGGCAAGTTTTGAATTCCACTAGGGGACTGAAGTCCCCCTGTCCGCAGGAGTTGACCCCCGCCACCCTGAACCTGTAAAGGACCCCAGGGGCCAGCTCCCGCCTCGCCCTGCACTCGGGGTCCTGAGAATCGGGCGTCTTCCCCGCCACGGCCAGCCCGTTCTCACTCGGGAGGCTGTAGTGGGTGACTTCAGAGAACAGGGTTTTAAACAGCCCCACGTCGTACCACGTGGAGTCACACGGGTTACCGCCCGGCGCTGCCACCTGAAGAGAAGGATGACCGGCAAACATTACATCCGCAAAATAGCACTGAGGAGGGTTATGCAAATGTACACCGATTAGCTTTATTGTTCCATACCAGGCCTGCTTGGGTCTTGGATGTAGAAACTGTGGTTCCTGGTGTAGCATTTGGCACACAGTGACCTCGATCTAAAAACAATATACAAAAACACCACCATGTAATTCCATGGTTTAAATCCGGATTATGCTGTGAAGCCCCACCCACCCTTTGAAGTTCCCTCCATCATAAACTTCAACTGGATGAATTTTCTTCAGGACCCAGTGTCATGATACCTTGAGCTCCATCCTCTGTATCCATGGAAACCGGATTGACAATAATGTGGCCCAAACTGTTTTCCTTTGTAACTGACACTGTAGACAAAGGAGGGAGGGGCCAAAGATCAAGCTGTGCCACAAATACACCACAAAGATCCTTAGACATCCTGTATTTTCATTGGACAGGTACATACCCATAATAACCAATGTTCTTCTCCTCTTAGGGAAGTTGTTGTATGACCACATATCATCTCTAAGCCAATGAACGGAGGCGGTTTATTGAATGAACACTGCATGCTGGATATACCTGTCCCTTGAAGAAAGCTGTTTTCTGAAGTGTCCATCGGCTCATGGTTCGAGGGCTTCTCACTGCAATTCAGCGCTCCCATGAATACCTCCTCAGATCTGCCGGACGAGGGTCCCTAGAGTAGCAATGCAGGAGGCCTCATTAGGATGGAGAAGGTCAAACCAGCTGGGCTGAGATTAACCTGAGCCTGGTATATGCATAAAAAAACCTGCCATTTCCTGACCTGGCCACAGGGGGCGACGTTCCCCCCTTGATGAGATATCCCATGTACTTCTGTAAGACCCTGGGAAAGCGGAGCTCCTGAGAAATAGAAAAGGTTAAAGCTGAAAGTCCACCGTAGCTTCTCTGGTAGAAAAACAAGAAACTGTCAAGCAACCTATAAGTAATTAACGAAGAAGTAACTCCATCTATTTCAACTTTGAGAACTTATGCAATGTTCAGCACCTTTACAGACTACATACTGCCACCAGTGCAGACCTTACCTGTATTAGGGTCTGCCCCCACCCCTGGGATACGACCCGACTGCTGACCCAAAGGCGATGAGGCAGAACCTCGAGGCAACGGCTGGGAGGGAGTGACAGGCTGAATCTGCAGCAGGTAGCTCTCGGTGGCAGGTAGGGGGCGCCATGCCACATGGAGCATGCTGATGGTGGCCTTAACCAGCATGACGGGGGCTGCAGTACAGGGTCTCTCTTCACGCCAAGAGGAAAACAAAGAGAGTAATTCCTGTGGTTACTTACCCGTATTGTTATGAACCTCTTGGCACAGCAGCCGAGATACTAACCATTTTCTACCCAAAAACATTACAGTCTTAAAAACACCCCTCCATCACATATTACACACAAGATATTAACTAGGAATTCAAGCCAGGCCTCATTAATCTATGATCAGTGCTGGTAATAACGCGTTAATGTAATTCTACTAATTTTGGCAATAACGATTAATGCAACTAACTGCCTTTTCAAAGTCAATAACGTAATTAAAAGTACTGAAATTTAAATAGGCTCATTACTCGATACTTCTCTCTTGCGTGAAATTATTAATGCACAAATGCAACCTATTGCCCTAATTTCCTGCTTGTGATCTAATGTCATGCGACCTTACGGTGCCGCAATGAATGGGTGACATTATAGGTACAGTGATAGATTAAATCTGACAGCCGTATCGTCTCGCATTGCGTCTCATCAGCAGCACACATGCATGGGGACAATGTCTCTGTGCCGCTTGAAAGTCAAAGCATCTCTATGAAGTCATTTGCTCATTGGCACGATGACGCTTAGACATCGCTACTGAATATCTGTGCCATGCATTTCAACAGCAGCACCATGTCAATTTGTATGCTAATATTTGTGTACTATAGGGTACATTTATCCTGTTTACTCCCTACATAAGCATACTATCTCCAAATGGAATGGGATCATTTAATTACGTTCTGATCTTAAACCAACATCCCAGTGGCGTGTGTGTGCTATCTGGGTAGTATTACTAAGATAACCGTAGTAACACAAAAGTTATTTTCCCTAGTAACTAATTCGTTTTATATGCAGTAATTGATAAAGTAATTGAATTATTTTTGAATGAAATAATTAGTAACTGTAAGTAACTACTTTAAGTAACCATCTTTGACCCACAGCAGATGATCTTTAAGGGACTCTCACCTGTCTCCAGATACCACAGATCTTTGCAGCACACCTGGTAATTCCAGCTCTTCCTGTATCCGTCACGGCCGCTCCAGATGTAAAGGCGGGAGCCAATGGTGGTGGCACAGTGACCAGCTCTGGCCCTCGGGCCGCTGGACGACCCTTCAGCCTCTGGCTCTGGAGGCCCCAAACTCGTCCACGTCATGGTGTCTGCCAACAGGAAAGGGGCGGGAAAACAGATTGAGGAGACTGCTTTTTTTTTGACTGACAGCTCACGATACCCAATCACAGCCAGTAAGTCCCAACCAATCTGAAACAGCTGCAAGTCAATTCTAAACTTGATTATCATTAATCATGATATTTAAATATTAAACCTAAGCATCAAATTTATTTACCAACAACACTGACAGAAAATGAGATGCATGGATTTCAAAATACATTGATGATGTCATGACGTTATGGGAGAGGTTTGAGGGGACACTGACCAAAGTTTAGCACAGACAGGGAGCTGGTGCAAATCCACTCCTCTCCCAGAGCATTTGGCTTGTCATCAGTCCTCAACACGGGAACCCAGCCCCCGAAGATGTACATCCTGGCCAGAGCAGAGGATGACGTTGGTGAACTTCAGGTGACAAGTCCTGCTACCTAACGTTAAGACTTCTACATTCCAACTCCATGAGGACGGATGACGGTTTATTTACTTGTTTCCAATGACGTTGGCAGAGTGAAGGCTTCTGGGAAAAGGAGGCGGACCTTTGGTTTCAGGGGTTGACCAGGTCATGGTTTCTGGGAGAAACACAATTCTCTGGGATGATTCTGCCAAAGGCTGGAGTAACCAGCACATCCTCTCCACAACTTTTGTCCATTTCGTTGAATTTGGTTAAGTAACTGAGTTCAGCACCAGTACGTCATAGCATTTAATCTAAAAAGGGGAATCTGTTCTGCTAAACTGGTCATTGAATAGGTCTTGTAAATACATACCCTTCTGAAGGGAAAACACAGCTATCTGGAAGCTATGTAAGCTACTCAAGAATGTGAAAGCACCTCCTATTGAGCTGTGTGCAGTTACCATCACCTAGACCAGGGGCACTCTGTTTTTTTCCTTGAGGTCCAAATTCTATCAGCCAACAACACAAAACCAGATTAAACTGTCTTTCGGTCTGGATGTGGACTGCAGTGCGCCAACTGAGGACCCCTGGTGTAGACTGACAGCTGACAGAGCACCGTGACGACCAGCAGGGGGACCTTACCGATGTCCAGCTGCCAGAGGTCGCCCAGCCGCTGTCCGCTCATCCCCCCGAAGACGTAGAGTTTGGGCGAGTAGCTGCTCTTGCTGCAGTGGGCCACGGCAGTGTGGGACTCCCGGGCCGAGGGCCCCCCACCCTTTGTTTCCGGCACGTTCCAGCCCTTCACCCCAGACGAGGCTTGGAGCTCCAGCTCATAGAAGTCACCTAGGTACCTAAAGGAGAAAGGGAACAATGCTTTGGGTGTTTGTTTGTTATTTATGGGTGAGCTGGAGCTTTGGAAGCTGTTTGCTGTGGCCCATGGGCTCCTACCTGGGGACATTGCTGTTGGGGTCATCGCTGTCATTAGCCAGACCCCCAAACAGGTAGCACTTGTTCCCTATCAGGGTGAAGCTGTGTCCGATGCGGGGGCATGGGGGTGCTCCGTTCCTGGGGGGCCTGGCCTTCAGCTTCTTCCACAGCCACCGGCTGGCCTGTACCAGCAGACGGTGAGGATTCGAGATGTTCTCTGGCTTTTTTTTTTTTTTTTTTTTACACATTTCAGGTCCAGAGAATGAAAATCCAGGCCAATATTTGGTTTCAAGAAGCCAGATGTGTCTGTGACTCTTTATGCTCAACTGATTGGTTCAAACAAAATCTTAGTCTGGATTTTTAATTTCTGGATCTGCAATATTCACCTCTGTGTTTTAAAATAGCACACAACTGTAAATCTTAAACCAATTACATCAATTAAAAACAAGCCAATTTTTCATTATTTTTTAACATAAAAAATCCAAAACTTTACCCCAAAGTACAACTTAGGAATGTAAAACTTCATGTATAAAAACTAACGAGTGGGCACTGGTCTCCAGCCTTATTAGAAACGGCTCACCTGCAGCTCGTAGAGGCTGTTACTGTACTTTCCATACTCGAGCATCCCGCCGAAGACCAGCACCCGATGCCCCTCACACGCGAAGCCATGGGCGGCGCAGCCCGGAGGGATGTCCCCTCGCACCGCCGGCAGGAACCAATGTCTGGACACTGGGAGTCCCCACGGAGAGGCCGCCGTCAGAACAGTAATTTACGGTCTTCCTGTACAACGGCTTTTCGCCTTTCTCTAATGGGGAGTGAAGTCAGCGACTGCACACTTGCTTTCAAAATAAATTCAAAGCCACGCTCTGCACAAAATGAAATATTTTAGGTAATCCCTTTAAAAATATGCAATACGGAATTAACACGCGAATTCACATATGATTCAATTGCTAATTTTTGCACAATATTTATTTCCTAAATAAAATCACATGCCATTATTGCGATACTTAAAACAAGTGGGACAGGTGAAAATGAACATTCAGCACGCCTGCAGGATCGCGACCACCCTGCCGAGTAAGAACCACCATCGTCTTATTAAGATTTACGCGGACGTGGTAAAAACTCCTCGCAACTGAAAGCACGAAACTACCAATAAACGTCACGGAAAGCGCTACAAAGTAACGCAACCGTTAGTTTCAACAGTGTATCTGCAACAATTTACTTTGTTGTTTCGGAAGATAAATCGTCGCTTCTCTAGCGAGGGTAACCACAGTATTCCTTTAGTTCCAGACTTTACACAATAACTGCAAAGAGTGGAAACATTTTCGACTTTAGCCTTATTGAATTCTGAAATTCCGGAAGCCATCCAAATGTATCTTATTAAGTTGCATTAAAATATTTAAGCCACACACGTAGCCACTATGTGCATCCTGCAAACAATAACTAACCTGCTATCGCTAGCCTGTGTGTGCGTTATAGCCTCGCTAGCAGCTCTGTCATTTAGGCATCCAGCCTCAAAGCTTTGTTCTGCACACGACCGAGGCCAGTTGGCAAAACATCGGGAGTTCGACTGCTAGCTAAAATACGGCCGACATGTTTGGCTGAAAACTTTTTTTAAAGCACCAGTCTCATCCCCGCTTTGATTCAAATTACTTGCGACCCCCCTTTCCCTCCGATGCAGCTACCGGTGTTGTAAACATGCAGCTCCTCGGCGATCCCTTCGTTCCCTCCCCCGAAGATGATGATCAGCTCCCGGATGGCCACGGCCCTATGCCCATGCCTGGATCGCGGAACCGGCCCGGTGAAAGACTGAACTTTTTTCCAAAGCGGTCCTTCGGTACCCATGGTCCCGTTTCAACCCTATTTGCAGGGGTGAAATCCGTGGCCGTCCAGGGTAGACATTTGGTGCTGGATCCGCCCCCTTCCCATATTGCAATTGTGCATTCGTCACCGGGGGGACCGCCTTCTCGATCCATTCATACTGTCTGCACTGTTAGGAGGACAATAACCTGCATCGTAAACTGCAGCTGATCCGTATTTGTGACAATATACACTGATGACTGGGTGACGGTTTTGGTTTTATCGTCATTTCCGGGCCATCGGAACATGTGCCTCGATGAAACATAAGCAAGCTGTTTAATCTGTCACACGAAACAGGACCCACCGCACGCGCGGTGCCACGAAACACGTTCACTGAACGTCGTGGAAGTACAGTTGCATTTGATTTTGTAGAACTGGCCAGCCAATATAATGCAATGGAAACGCAGTACTGTTTACATATATCTCAGGCTACAGAAGTTGCTTGTGGTTACTGCCCACACCCCTTTACCATTTCATTATGAGTGAAAGTAAACGGTCAGACAACGGCAATCTACCTATTTTAACCAAATCATCATGATAAATGTATTATTTATCCACATGATTACTTCTCAGGCATGGACATCTGATCCACTCATTCTCAATCGATCAATTATTACAAGTTAATTACGTTTTTATGCGCCATTTATGTAAATTACACAAAATTTCGTAGACAGATTATACAAATATGAGCCACATGCAACGGTTTTCGCCATGCAAATCGCTGGCGGTGTAAGGACACTTCGTCGCTCTGTCTAACGGAGCTGCGCCCATCCGAGAGTCCTGGGGCAGCGCTGAGACCTGCACATCTGGAGAGGACTTCCTGCAACAGCTGGCCAGCTGCTGTAAATGTCGCAGACTTTCATTGTTTTTGATCAGCACGGTGATTCTTATGGATACTAAGCCAGCTTTTTCGGTAATATTGGACTAGGACTTATACGTTCGCCTGCCAACATTATCTACGCACCAGCTTTGGTAGGTGACTGGACTTTCCGAGTCTACATGAAATTAACAAGCTCAAGCAAATCATTTGCTGGATGGTTTTATCTGGTTGTATTGAACAGTGTTTGTTTTTGCAAGATATATATATGAAAGATATAGCCAGGACAGTGATATCCCATGTTAAAATAGGCATAAGTATAATGGTGAACAATGGAGAAGAGAAGAAATGAAAACCGACACGTTAAACGATCAGTCTGTGCGCAGGAGTATGTGGAATTACACGTAAGCTGTATTCAGGTCGCTTCTCAACCGAACGAGATATTTAGGCAAATGCAGTTGCGGTCAAAATCAGAATAACTGGGAGAAAGCCTTGTCTTTTGTGGAGGAATAGCTTTCCGTATCCCGTGTCTTGCTGTTTGAGACGTGTACACCCCTTGATCTTACCCAGTGGTGTAACAAAAGACGAGTAGGCTATGGCATAGTATTAAAGTGCTAAAATATTCTACTGAAGTGCCCCGTCAACTTTCAACGAAATCATAAAAATAATCATGATAATAATCATTATAATCATAATAGTGTTTCTGTGACTTTACTCTATTTTGGAAACGTTGGCCTATTTCACCAATGGCTTTAAAGCTTGCGTGACTGTGCATATTCATAATTACAAATTCAAAAAATTTACAGACTCATCTGAAGCGAAATACTTGTTGACGGGAATGTGATATGAAACAATTCATTTTTTATTTATTCCGTCCCATCCTGTTCATTTTTACCTGCAGCCACGGGCGTTAGTAGTAGGGTGTCACCCTTACTGAAAGTGGTAAGATAAACTTTCTGATTCTGACCTCTAAACATGCAAAAGAGCTTTTTTTTGATATAACTCGCAAATCAGAATTGTCGTGCACGTTGAGTTATTGGAGCAGACTCCAAACCTGTCGTTTACATGTGCAGAATGAGAGGCAGTCCTGTCGATAAAGCAGCGAAGTACGGGGTCTCACATCTATGGAAGATGGGCAGATTTATGGTGAAAAAGCTGCCACTGCCATCATAGGAATTCCAGCCTTAGACTGAACGGAGTCAAATTTCCTCGAAACTTTAAGTTAAAGAGACGATCGGTATGACGTAAATCGCTCAATCACAACTTGAATTTATCTTGATTTTATGTATCCCTAATGAGAGTTCTTAATTAATCTTGAAAGAGAACTAGAATAAGAAAAACAACATAAAAAGGTAGACATCTCTACAAGACTCTACAAGAGATAATTCACATCGGCAGGAATACGACATTTCATGTTGAATAGGCACTGGCAGATGAAAATGCATTACAGCATTATTTATGCTGGCGGGCTTTCCTTTGCTTAGAGCCCCGTGCAGCGTAACTTTCTGGAAAGTACGGTCGGGTGTGTGCATTCTTCCTGCATCCGTAAAACCAAGTAGGAACAGAACCGAGACTGTACGATTCATACCAGCTTCTCTGGATTTTATATTTAAATGCAGTCATATATAGTATAGGTCTAGACTGAGGTGCCCAATAAATAATTTGTATTTAGTTCTAAATTTCAGAACTATGCAAAATGATTGCATCTATAGATATCTAAACTACTCCAAGCCGATCCAGCTAATCTTTTGAGTTTTTTCCTCCATTCCTTTTTAGATTAGATTGCTGAAAACTATTACGCCTTGCACTCGATCTTGCCAGATTTTTAACCTTGCCAAATGGGACGTTGAACATGTTTTACATCTCCGCTGTTCCTATTGTTACGTCACAACATGTTTATTCAGTTTTATTTTCCCCGGGTCCAAATGAGGGCACTGCTTAGACCGCTTATTTACCAAGGAGTCCAGTCTGATGGGGTTGGGCAGTGTGATGCCCAAGGGCGTCATTAGGTGCGATCACTCGGGGCTTTTTTAGTCCCAAGTATTTTATCCCGTTAGTCTTCCTTCCAAAAAAAGTCAACAACCGGGCAAACTTGACTCAGCCCCTTTTTTCAATAGCTGGAATCGCCCCAAGTTATCTGATTATCAATGCTATCGGGAAAGAGGTTCTGAGAATCCCTCGATCTACGTGCTTGCAGCGCGTTTGCATGTTACGGAGAGCGAGCAATCCGCAGATTTCAGCTTCTTCGCCCCTTTCATACGCGTCGTGGACCATCATACGTCTCGCACACATTCTTCGGAGGTGGGTTGACCTCTTTCAGTGTATGGGCCTTTGTTCACGCCGCCTTTTCAGGCTTGATGGCCAGGCGAGCTCTGTTTCCCAGATCACTGAGGCTGTTTTCCCGCTGTGATCCAGAGAGCCGGGCTCTCTACTAGTGGCTTTTAACAATGAGCATTTCGTCCGCGGCCTCCCCCATTTGGCAATGATTTTGTCCGCTTGTCTTTCTCTTCTTACTCAAATGCCAAGGAAACTAAGTACGAATTCAAACTGTGTTTTGGTGTATTTCTGCAGATGTCACATGACGAAGAATGGCTTTGTTGAGAAGAAGTAAGTGAGATAAATTTTGTATTAATAACTATATGAAAGGTTTTTCTATCATACATTGTAAGCAATGGCTCACAACCCCGATCCCCGCCCCCCTAAACACTCACGGTACTCCTACTAGTATGGGCATGTCCACACCGTCATACCCAAACCTATACCTTTGATTGTAAGTTTTTCTGAGTGGTTAATATATATATTTTTAGGATTCTAAAACGATAGGATAATCAACCAAGGAAAATCAATATTTCAGAATCAGTTACTCACCTGGAAAATCCAGCTAGGAGCAAGACCGCGAAGGACAGGAAACGTAGTTTCCTAGTTTAATGGTTTAATGCGAATCGAAAGAGCTGGAAGATAAAAAGAATAAGCCTGAGCCTGATTAAGTGCCGTCGGCTGCGCAGCGCAGCTTTCCTAAAAGCAGACATTGTTTCGTGAGATTCAGACTCCCCGCTGCCTGGAATTCTCGCTCCAGGCATATCGCTTTGTGCCTGATTTTTTTATTTTTTATTTTTGTCGGGGGGGTGTACCTGAACGCGAGCATCTCTGACCGCATAATTCACTCCAAGCAGGGCTTTCTAGCATTTTCTGAACCACAGACCATAAGATAGCCAGGAAAGTGAGCTTGTAAAAGACCGTCTCCAGATTTTATGGCGGTTTGGTTTCCAAAAGAGCTGGATTTCTGCAGACTGAAGGTGTGGGGTCGTTAAGGAGAGAGATAGGAGGACTTGGAATGTGCGCCATATTCTGGATGGTTGGTTAGCTGTATCTCCATCTGCCATGTCTCTTCTATGTTCTACAGTCAACTGGATCCTCCTGACACTGCTGACCCTGATAGTCTGTACCATCCTGTACAAGAGGGTGCACAGACCTCAGCAGCGATCGTCTCACACAGGTACCGCGCTGATCCTCAGCCCTCAGGTCGCCCTGAGGTAGTTGGCCATACCCTCTAACTGTGTTGGTACGTCCCACACTGTTCAGGGCCCGTTCCAGCCACGGTCCCCTCGGATGTCAGGGATGAGGTGTCGGAGGTAGAGGGCGTGATCCCGGTGGCGATCTGCGCGGCACAGGAGCGCGTCGGCGCCACCATGGCAACCATCAACAGCGTGCGCAGGAACACGGATGCCAGCTTGTTCTTCTACATCATCACCCTGCAGGACGCCGTGCAGCACGTGAAGTACTGTGTGACCGTGAGATCCCTCCGGTTTTCTCCGTCGGGCATCCCAGCCATATATCCAAGAACGAAATGCATGAATAAAGACTGAAAAAGATGTGTTTCTTCTCTTTACTTCTATGCCTGAGAGCAGGAACAGAATCATGAAAGTTTACCAATTAATCATCAACTCTGGGTGTAAGCATTTAGAGTAGCCCCTTAAGTGAAGAGTAGCACCTCATGCAGCCCTGTCAGGACGATCAGGGCTCAGTGCTCAGTGTCCTCTGGATATTTACAGGGATTATATAGAAAACTCTGCTCTGAAGGACATCAAGTATAAGATTGTGGAGTTCAACCCCATGACTCTGAAAGGAAAAGTGAGACCTGATTCTACCCGGCCAGAACTCCTCCACCCAGTGAGTACCAGTCCACGTAAACTGCTATCTTTTTGGGGCAGGGAATATCAGTGCACAGGAAGGTGCTGGGCTAAGAGTGTCCAACTTAGACAGCTTAAAACCTGTTGTGTAAATGTTTGGGTAAAGTGCAATGGGTCTTAATAAGGAGCACATACACTACTTGACCTGGGGACTGCCTGTATCTGCACTGTACTGTCGTCCATTCCTTAGCCATGAAATGTGTCGCTTTTATGGGCAACACGCCCTGCCAGGAAAATCATTTCTGGGCTATGAAGCAAGCAGTTGCCCAATATCTGATCCAGCAGCTGTATAGGAATTATACTGGTTATTTTTCCCTATTCAGGGTTGCTGGTTTTCGCAAAAGCAGGAAGTGCCTGGGTTAGGTTGCTGGATGGCATTTTTCCTCATGAGCTCCACCTTGATTCCATCTCCTTTCCTCTGCAGCTCAATTTCGTGCGTTTTTACCTGCCGCTGCTCGTCAACCGGCACAAGAGGGTCATTTATTTGGACGATGATGTCATTGTGCAAGGTAAGGAGACTCCCAGTCTGTGGAAGCTGCTGGTGGCAAACTGAAGACCTCATACTGAGCTCACATTCTCTAACTCTAACTCCGGTCCTCAGGGACCCATGGACAGTCCACATTTTTGCTCCCTCCCAGACAGTCCACATTTTTGCTCCCTCCCAGCTCCCAGCCTGAGCAGACAGCGCAGAACTTGAATCGCGGTCAGCAGAGTGATTTCACTGTTGGGCCCCTGAACAAGACCCTTAACCCCTGATTGCTCCAAGGATTGTCTGACCCTGCATTCTCAATTATATGTCGCATTAAATAGAAGTGGCTGCCAAATAAATAAAAATGTAAAATGTAACTTATTCAAAAGTACTTTTTGAGATTTATGGAGACCAGCAGCCTGCTGAGTCGTGGTGTCTGGCAGGATTAGAGATGCATCTGATCTGCTTTTTAAACATCCACATGTTGCTTAGGAGCAGAGCATACAGTGCAATTGCTTGGTTGGAGTTCTTTCTACTCCAAAACAGGTGACATCCAGGACTTGTACCAGACCAGGCTGGAGCCAGGCCACGCAGCAGCCTTCGCCAGCGACTGTGAACTGCCATCCACTCACGAGATGGTGCGCAGCATCGGAATGCAGGTGGGCGTGAGCAGGTGGGAGGGTGAGGGGGCGGGGCTAGTGCCTGAGACAATGGAGGATCCAATAGGACACAAGTGCCAGCAGCGATCAGTCTCACAGGAGCCGTATCCGCTTAACAGCCTGCCAGTGCATTTTTCTCCCTAATTCTGTGGTTTGCCAAGTCAGACTTTGCACGGGAAACATTTATGGGTTTCTTTCCAGACGACATACATGGGCTTCTTGGACTACAGAAAGCAGGAAGTGAGAGACTTAGGAATCAACCCCAATGACTGCTCCTTCAACCCCGGGGTCTTTGTGGCCGACGTCGAGGAGTGGAGAAGGCAGAAGATCACCAAGCAGCTGGAGAAATGGATGCAGCAGAACTTCAGGTGAGCACCTTGCATGCTTATCCACACCGAGAGCGCTCTCCCGTCACCCGCCAGCATGACCAGCGGACCACATGCTCTCCCCCCAGGGACAACCTCTACAGCAGTGCAATGGCGGGTGGCGTGGCCACTCCGCCGATGCTGATCGTCTTCTACAGGAAATACACAGCTCTCCAGCCACTCTGGCACGTCAGACACCTGGGTGAGCCTCATTCTCGGGAAAGCGGTTCCTGGAGTATAAAAATGGGACATTGCCTAGTTATAGAAAATCCAGAGGAGATACTGAAAAGCATTAGGGATTTACTCAGTTCTGCTGGATATCGCAAGAGGAAAAAGTATAACAAGAAAAAACTAAATTGGAAGCATATGCAAATAATTTAGACTATTAACCCAAATAAGGTTCTCTCTCTCTGTATATATGTGTGTGTATATACAGTATATATATAAACATATAACTGGGCTTAAGGTCCATAGGGACACCTGTGCAACAATCATCCATTGCAACCTGCCCCACTCTCTAGGCTGGAGTCCCAACACCCACTACCCAGAGAAATTCCTGGAGGAAGCCCACTTACTGCACTGGAATGGACGATTCAAGCCTTGGGACTACCCATCTGTGCACAGGGAGCTTTGGCAGAAATGGTACATTCCAGACCCCACAGGAAAGTTCTTACTGGTACGACCCAACAGATGAGTGTGTCCTTCTGGTCCCCTTGGCAGAGCTGAGCTGCTCATCTGCACATAGTTGCAAAAGTTAATTCTCTGCTTCAGTTTCCTATTGTGCGTGCAGAAAACTCAGGGGGAACCAGCCCGTTTTCGGAAAAAATTATGAAGTATGTTCCAGTCCGTCTGTAGGTTTCAGATATAAAAACCAGTAGACAAACACTACGGTTTCATACTGACAAAGATCACCAATAACTAATAATTAGATTTTCTGATTAACACCGTTGTGCTTTGGGCTCCTGCATTTCCTGCACTTTATTTGGCTTACATGGACAAATAGATGGGACGTCAGTATATATTTCCAAAAGTTTATTACTGTTCCTAGTTTTTCAGAAAGTGTTTATTTATACATTACATCACTCTGCTCATGATGTACACAAACACACGACAGCTGCCATTTTGATTCCAAGCACCATTTTCAAATTCGGCACACAGGAAGTCTCCACTGTAACAACTGGTGGTGAGATGAACTCACATCCCCACTGGCACGGGGCTGGTACTCTGTCTAACCTCAGAAACAAACAGCTGAACACAAAAGCGCTTAAAAATAACATAAAAAATAAAAAAAGGGCTACGAAGCCAGTGCTTTACATCTACATTGTTCTGCAATAATCAGATCTCAGTGTGACCTTAAAACTTCCAGTTGAAATGCCTTAAAAACAGGACCCGCCGATCCGCTGCCCTCAGCAGCATTTCCACCCGACCTCCCTGTGTCCTGCATCCGCAGCGTTACGGATATCACTCAAACATCTGGTCATGCTTGCCTAATGAACCATAATTGATTTACATGGACCCCATATTCTTTTTAAAAAAATCTTTAAAAATTTAAAATGCCAAAAACCCCCAGAATGCTCAGATTTTACACAAAGAAAGTCTTTACCTAGCACAAAATACAGATAAAATGTTAACTCAGAGGGAGGAAAGTATGCAAAACAGTGCATTCCAGGCCCTAAAAAGGCTAATTTAGCTGTTCTTACTAAACTGCAGTGAGGGCAGAGCCTGCATAGACAGTCAGATGCACACTGCAGCCTGTAGCGCTCCCCCTTACTGTTAGCACACGGAACAGGAACTCAGCTAATGCCATGCTCATTTTAAAAACCACTTAGAGTTTCGAAAGGCACTGCATTTTTTTCATCCATTTTTACTTCTCGAGGATTCAGGTACTGTGCACATAAGGGATGGCTGCCTTTTCCTGTCAGAAACTGTGAATTAACACAATTGTAACAGTTAAGGAAACACTTGAAGACATTGCCGAAGCACCGCAACATAAATTAAGGAATACGCAAACTTCGAAGTTAGACGAAGTGCACTGCAGTGTGGCATCCTTGTGCTCTTTGAGGTCTGGGGCCATTTCTGTCCCAGCAGACAGAACGAGATTCCCGTGTCCACACCACACCACACCACACCATACCACACGGGCATGATAACCAGGTGGAGGATATGAGAGCATTAAACGGAAAAGCCAGCTAAACGTTACTGCACTGCTGCAGTACGCGTACCAAAGACATCAAAAGAAAACGTTTACATACAGAATTATGTAATGATACTGTATAAAAACAGCTGAGTATCACGCATTACTGTAAATCCCTGATCAATTCTGGCATGAAAAATAACCTGAAAAGGAATTCTGTCAGCAGTTAAATTGCAACGTGAATGAAATAGCACCTTGTGAAAAATGTTCTATCCCTCTAAAAAAAAAAAAAAAAAAAAAACTATGAATTTAAAAATGTAAGAATACAATCTACTACCTAAACAGTGTAGACCAATAGGATAAAAATAGATGAACTGGGGGGAAGTTTAGGGAAACATGCCTGTTGCTCATCAAGTATTTTAGCATTTCAGATGAGCCCATGGATACTTGTGAAGCCAATCACCACTAGCTCAACGACAGAAGAACCGGGCAGTTCGTGAAGTCACTGCATTAAAAGTGCAGTGTTCAAATTGACATCCTGACAGGCCCCGCCCACTTCCATGCAGGCTCCACCCACAGGTCAGGGCTATGTGCTGCCATTGGACCCGATGTCTGGAATCTGATCTGTGAATGACTGTGTCATCCACCGGCCATCGGGGACCTGACCCATCGCTGGTGGAGAAATTGAACCCTCGAGGTTGGAATCTGTGGGAAATATTAAAAGGCTAAATGTAGTCAAAGCAGCATACGCTGGACAGAAATAAAAGACCCAAGAAAGAAAAGGTGCTTTAATAACAAATGGAATATGATAAAGAGAAATTTAACCAAGGATTGATACTGATAACTCGCACAACTCTAGCTAAGCTGACCAAGTAAACAACACTTCATAATTTGACATTAAACCTACTTTTTTCTTTTACATTTGTACTCTCTACACTCCTTTTATATTTATATGTCTGTTTATATTGTTCAATTATATTCATCTTGTTTGTTTCTGTATTTGTACCGACAAAAATAGTCTCCCAATTTCGTTGTACCTTGTGCAATGACCATAAAGGCATTCAGCATTCATATCTTAAGTGATATGCGTCTCCATTGGAAGAATGACCCCTCCCCGCCCGGCACGGCGTCCGTTGGCGTCACACAGAGAGCTCGGCAGCTTACCTCCCTCCCCGGGGCCGGTGAAGCTGCAATGGCCGTTGAGTGGCACCCCCTCAGGTCCCGGCTCCCCATAGGCACCGCCGAAGGCCACTTCGTACCCGGGGTCGTACTGCTCTTCTTTGATAGCGATTTTCTTGGCATCCTCTGGAAGCATGACATAGATATTATTATATACACCAGCAAAAAAAAACAATGTGTAAGCAGGAGAGGGGACCTTTAAAGGTCCCTTAGGCCATCCCTTTAAGAAAGACCCCCAGGGAGGTGGTGCACTGGCACTCATGCCCAGATAGGGCCCGCTCACCTTTGGCCAAGCCCAGGTCGAAGGTGTACCGGACCTCCTCCACCTCCTGGGGCCGGGCCATACCCTTGATCTGGTCTCGCAGCTCCTTCAGCTTGATATAGTAGTGTACCTTGTCCTGGGCACGGGGGAACTGGGCACAGCGGGCACTTGAGGACGGCATCAGGTACAGCAGCTGCGAGATGGTGGGGGGTGGGTTACGTAAACTGGCTGTCAACCATCTGGGGGCAGCTGCACCCCCGTTTGCCCAGCCAAATCCTCATATGTGACACAGCAAAGCCTCTAGATGGACAAATACTGAGAAAACATTACAATAAACTAAAAACCCATTCAGATACTGCCTTTGACATAGAAATGGATTTACCTCTGCAATGTGTAACTAGTCCCTGCATAACTACCCTTTCAAAGTGCTGGTGTGAATGTGGACTGCAGCGACGCTGAACATACGTTACCGTTTCAGTATCTGGGACCTTCAGTGGCTGTAAGCCAAAGTCAAGCTTCTTTGGCTTAGACCCAAAGATCTCCCTGCAGAACATTTCATAAATACCTAAAGAAGAAGGAAGGCGACTAAGTCAACTTAAACAGCCATTACGCCATCCAGAGAAGCTCTACTGGAGCAAAGCTACGGGTCGCTGTCTTACATTTTCCGTTGAAGACGGCTATGAGAGGCTTGTACTTCTTCAACTTCTCCACCAGAATTTTTCCTCCTTCACGCAGCTCTTTACTGTGATAAAGTTTGAAATAAACAGAAAGTCACCCCTCAGAGACCATGACTGAGACTGAGACCCTTAAGCTGGCGACTCTCCAGCCCCGTTACCTTGACAGATCCTTGCTTCCTGGCGTGGTCCTCTCTACCATGTTGGTGAAGCCAATGCTGTACTTTTCCGGCAGCATCTGATCATGCATGTGATTGAGCTGCACTTCGCTGATGCCGGACATGAACAGGCATTTCCCTGAAGGGAATGACATGCGCATCTTTAAGCTGACTGCTGTGGACGTACGACGACATTCTTAACGATCACTTTGGGACATTGATCTTCAGAAATGGAGTGACAACAGCACCACATTCAGGTTAATCAGGATAAATCAGACGTGCGGTTTGTCATTTATTCAATGACAATACAGAGCAATGTTTAGCTAATACAGGTTGGCTAGCAAGGTATACTATGGTATACCATGGTATTTTGAAACTGTGGTGATAAAACTACCACCCAGGAAATTACAGCTGTAAAGAGGCTGAAGGAAAGGTTTCCTACAAATACAGCAACAAGCAGCATCAATATATATCAGGCTGTGCAGCCTGCATCACCTAAAGTTATTAGTTAAATGTGTCTTTTAAAGACGAACTTTAGTTCATGGCATAAGTGCACACTGCACCCAACAGTGCTGTAATCGAATCTAATAGTACGATCCAATTTCTGTACCAATTTCCTGAAATTATGTGTCTCTGGCTACCACAGTGTACTTATGGTTAGAAGAAAAAGGTTTTCCATCATAATGAAGCTTTATAATGCAAAAAAAAAAAGTTTGCGGTCACTTACAAAAATGATTCCCTGGCCCAGGAAACCAGCGTCCAATGTAGGCTGCCATAAGGCCCGGATTAATTCCGATCTGAAAGACACAGCTTAATAAATTAATAAATCACATACAGCACCTACACATTGTAACTGGGGAGAGCGTCCACAATAAAACTTACAATCACGAAATCCAGGTTGTTGGTGAGAATATCCGGCAGGGTTTTGGTCATGACCTCCGCCTCCGTCATGCCTTTGAAGCGGTCCACTTTCCTCTTGACCTTCTTGAAGGCCTCGTCGATCTTCTCCTGCTTACCTGTGCCTGGGTCCTCCTTGGCCTTTTTTGGCTTGGGCCCGGGTTTGTTCCTGGGCTTGGGCTCCGCCTTGGGCTTGGGCTCCGCCTTGGGCTTGGGCTCCGCCTTGGGCTTGGGCTCCGCCTTGGGCTTGGGCTCCTTGCTGACAGCTCTGCCTCGTTTCCGCTTCGCTGGAGCTGTAGTGAGTATTAAAGAAGGGGTTTTAAGCAGTCTGGCAACATCATTTTTACATTAATCCAACGCTCAGGGCAAACAAATCAGTCCAAAATGCATCTGCATATAAATATAGTCAAAGTATCATTTATTGTCAACTTCAACTACATGATGCACAGGGTCATACACTGAGGTGAAATATCATCATTTAACTACCACATAACACAACCCTGTCTGACATTATCGATGGATGATGTGACAATAATTTTTCATACCCAGTTGCAACTGTATTCATGAGAAGCATTTCAAAGGACTGTGATACAGCACATTTACATTTACTATAATTTAGCAGATATTTATCCAAAGACATGCAATGAGTCAAACAGCAAACAAACGTGGAGTCGACTAGGCATAAGTGTGACTAGCCTGAAATTCCAGTGAATGCCCAGTTACAAGTGCACTATTATTATAATGAGAGAACAAACCAGCAAGTGCCTATCACACAATGCCTGTGTATTCAGAGACTGCAACAGCACTACAGCAAAAAAAGTGCACCGTGAAAAAGTAATTTCAGCCTGCATAACATGTCAGCATGTTTTGTATAACTCCGTCACTGACCGAAGTGGTTAATGTTAATTTGTACTCGAAACTTTGGTATTAAAGAAAAAAAAAAAAGTAATTCTGCTATAATGAGTCAGTTTCTTTTATAAGTACAGTATTTTACGTACCCTAATAGGTAATTAGGTTTATTATTATAAGGCTAAAAGCAGTGTTTCTTGTATGGATAGAATTGTTGGTTAAGTGGTTAACATTACTACATACATTCCAATCTGGTTAGTTTGTAAACATAAGAAACTGTGATCTTTATCATTGATCATGATTCTAACCAAAAATCTCGTGATATCACATTCTGGCCATATCACCCACCCCTACCTGGCATGACAGACACCCCTCCAGAAAGTGGAAGCATTTACCTTTAACTGGCATAGCCCCAGCCACGCTCTCCTGCTGGGCCGCCAGCTCCTGCAGGGCAGGGAGCTCCTGTGGGCCGGCCACCTCTCCCATAATCTCCATCGGGCTTTCCGTGATGGGAAATACGCCGGCCATCTGCTGGTAACAAGGCCGCTGGGTAGGCTGCACGTGCTGTTTGGACTGGTACCCGGAACAAGGAGCCTAAGAAGACGAGGAGGACGTTAACAGCTAGAGGTCAAAGGATGGAGGTGAAGCGTCACTCTCATGTGTACATATGTGTGTATCTCAAAAGATGGCAAGATGGGATATGCAGAGAAATAAAGGATCATTTCATTTCTGTATGTGAAAGTGTTAAAGTGCTCTATTACACCGGAGATTTTTCCAATAAAAAAAGCTCAACGATGAGTGTGACTTTCTGTCCTGAAAATGCACTTAAAATGTGCATCTCTGTTCCAGCTTCGTCTCAGGTGACAAGTAAGTGACAGTTTCCCTTGCATGCAATTCTCCAGCACCCCAAAGAAGAAGGGGCAGAGAGTAAGGTTCCGCACAAGCGCATACTGGTTTCCGTCCCTTCTATAACACATTCACTATTAATAAAATGATATTCATTTTGAAGTTGCAAAACAAGAAAACGAAAACGCCCCTTAATTCCTGAATATTTGTAATTATGAAAAGAATATGAATGAATCATTAGTTCTATTTCATCTCAAGATCCTTTACAGACAATATTAAACATGTACAAGTACATCGTCATATTATTAGCGCGACGATATTAATGGGTAAGAACAAACGATGCCTACACATTGAATGAAACCAGGCCTTCCTGATAACGGAGAGAAGGAAAACAGCCCTCACATCCAACGAAAATAAACCATCTATTTGTCTTGGGTCAGAGAATAATATTTCAAGAACAAATATTGCAAAATCGTATAAAATCTCTAACGTTAATGAGAAAGTAATTCCCAGCCAAACTGTACCGGACACCGCGGCCACACTGAAGCGGAACGGAGGCTTCCAGCTAGCTAGCTAACTTAAACATTTGGAGGTTAAAGGATGACTGTCAGTCATAAACACGACATCGACGATCATATCATACAGATATTACCTGTTAAAGATACTTCCGAAAGCTGTATTTATTCATTAAATGGACTGAACGAGATTCCGTCCACGGAACAGAAAACAAAGGGTAGATTTAAACTCGAGCAGCAACTGAACTCTGACACTAGAAGCTACCAACGTCAAATGGGGGTGCACGATTTTAAAACGTATTTAATATCAATTTAAAAACCAAAATATAAAAAGAAATGTAATATGTACACAATAAACGTCCTATAAGACGTCATATATTATAAAATCTATAATCTACTTACGTTCTACAACGTAGGTAAATATGTTATGGCGAAATATACCCACTAGTTGAGTATTGGTGGGGTCCTTCTGGCGTTTAAACGCCGGCGCCTCTTCTCATTGGCTGGCAAGCCGCGTGCTTGATGTGTCGTATTTGCTTTGGGAAGGCTCAGGTCTAGCGGTGAAATTTCTGGTCAGAGGGTGTGGTACGAGCACGAACTTTAATAGACGAATATGTTTCATGTGTTTGAATGCATTTCTTTATTAGGAACATATACTTAAATTCTCCATGTTCTATACAAATACACCTGTTTGCATGTAATTTTTAAAAACTTGTTAGTATCACACCGAAGCTGGACTGGGATTAAAAATCGCCCCTGGATGAATTCCACTGGCCCACAAACGGACACTTTTATCCAAAGCCACTAAAGAGGGGGCAATTGCGTTTAAGCGTCTTGCTGAAGTGCACAACTGTGAAATCGCTCTGCCAGCTATGGGATTTGAACCAGCAATCGTGGGCACCCTAACTGGCAGAGCCACACACCCGTAATATAACAGTGTGTCTGTCTGCAGAGAGAACGGCAGCAACATTCATGTCTCTGGGGACCGTATCTATGAAGTCAGTAGATAAATTCAGGGAAGGGAAGGGAGGGGGGGGGGGGCTTGAGGTCACTGTAAAGGGATGTGAGGCGCCCAATATCTTTGCAAGAGTATGAAAGTCCAAGTCTATCGTCCTGGTACTCCCTGTCTGGCTGTATGGCTGTGAGACATGGATGCTATCCAGTGACTTGAGATGAAGACTGGACTCCTTGGGTATTGTGTCTCTTCGGAGAATCCTTGGGTACCGCTGGTTTGGCTTTGTGTCGAACAAGCGGTTGCTTAGGGAGTCCCGAATGAGGCACATTACCTGAATCAGTTACGGCACTACAGTCATGTGGCGTGTTTCCCTGAGGGTGATCCGGCTCACAGGATCCTCATTGCTGAGGACCCGGACAGCTGGACCAGGCCAAGGGGATGCTAATATAACACATGGTTGAGGCAGCTAGACGGCCATTTCCTTTGGATGGGACTGGACTGCGTGTCGGCCAGGGGGGGGTGACCAACAGGGATCCTGAGGTGTTTCGTTGTGTAGTGGGTGTGGCAATGTGCTATAGAAGTAGATGCTCCCCAGCCTGACCTGACCTGAGGTCATTAATACATGCAAAAATTAACATTTGTTTTCTTTAATATTTTATTTGCACTGATACTTAAACTGTATATTTAATGACATAAGGTGTAATTTTTACATAAAGCGATCAAAGACTATCTACAGCCTGTGGAACTCCATTAGGTCCCACTATGTCAGGGCCAGTCTGACACACAGTTCACAGATTTCCCTGCTCAAACACACCCACTAAACCTGGCAATTAACTGTTAAGCTGAATAAGGCGTATTTGAACAGGGAAATCGGCCAACTGACCCTCCAGGACCGGAACTGGGGAACCCTGATCTATGTAGGACCCTTATGTCTCCAGAACCACTCCACGATTTGATAAACGGAGCATTCACAGATCTCTTCTACACATCACTGTAGTCCTGAGCTGTAATCTAAGCATGTCTGCCTTTCCTCTTTGCATCCATGAGTGTGGCCGTTCTCCTCTGACCTCTATAACTAGCCCAGCGTGATTTTTCCTCAAAACCCACTGTTTAAACACTAACGCATGAACATCTTGGCCCTGCCTGTATTGAGCCACATGGTTTGCTGTGTTGGAACAGGCTGTGCCAGTGAGGGTGCATTTTCTACACTAGCAAACATAGTGTTCAACCAGAAACAGCTAAGAAGACTAACTGCATACCACATGCTTCATTCAAATTAACAGACATGAGGGTGTAGTCTTAAAAAGAAAGAAACACTGCTTTGTTTTCTGAAACTGCATCTCTGATTCTGTACTATGGGACACTGTACCTTTAAACGTTACTATTCTGATCCTCTGAATATGCAAGCAGCTTTTTTAAAAACTAAAACTAAAACTGAAAAAGACAGGAAATGCATTACGGTGTGTCAGATACCACCTTGTTTTGGTCATATTCTAATTCAAAATCCACCTCAAGGTACCATGAACCTTTTGCTACATTTAAAATGATTCATTTACAGAAGCTACGCTATAGATTTTTTTTTTTTTGCTATTTGAGAACGTGAAAAATAATGACGCCTTGACGGCCCACAACGAGAGCCGTTATGAAGATGACAATAAGGAAAATACCATACAATTTTACTATTTGTATCAAGTTGCTTTTAACACATTAAACCTTACACATTAAAACTTACAATCATCACACCCCACACTGCTACCCAAGTCACAGTGGTCAGAGAATTCCCCAGCCTGTTGTCAGACATCCCATAATGTCTCAGTTCCATATCATCCATGAAAGACCAACGGAAAACATGCAGGATGCTTTCTGGCTAAAGCATTCGTTTTAAACACTGGCAAACATTACAGCCTGCACTACCACACAGACCAAAGACTACTTCAATTAACTACTGATGGACAGCTGATGTTACTGTTGGTTCATGTTATAAATCCCTGATTTATAGCAACTGTGAAAGACAGTAGGCTCAATTATTTTTCAATGTGTAAAAATGTAATGTGAAAATTGCACTTCCTGCAAAAGTTTTCATTATTTTAAAATGGCATACAAAAGAATGTATAAAATGCATTAACATTACATTAAAAAGAAAATGCACACACAAATTGTCCAGCACCTATAAATAAATATTATGAAAAAAAGTATGGTAACAGTACTCAGTATTCATAACTATTCAGAGTCCAGATGTAAGAGTTCATTATTGTGCGTTTGATTCATAGGTTTGCATGTTGAGGTACACAGCAGGTTGTCAAAGGAGAAAAGCCACTTTCAACAACTAATCAAGTGGACTACAATATGAGTGACCCCCCCTTTTCTGTCACAAACTAGTGGTGTGTCCTGAAAGACACCGACTGGTGACCGTCCTTACAGGCGACGTGGAAATGGCACCATGTCCCACTGACCGCCGACATTGTGGCCCAGGACAGCTGGAACCTCATTACTCGCTATTGGAGGGGATAAAAAAAATCTTTAATTCAATAAAAGGCTCTCATAATTCAGGCAACCAAGATATTAAACTCCAATCAAATCGCATGGGGTTCCGCTGCTGCTCACCAGGTTCTTGGTAGTGGCTTGCGGTGACAGCTGTGTTAGAACCACCAAGAGCATAGCTTGGCCCAAACTCTGGTTCCTCCTCTCCAAATGCTGCATTGACAGCATCATATCCAGGGTCATACTGCTCCTCCTTGATTGCCATTTTCTTGGCATCCTCTGAAAATAACATAAGAATTAAGTAAAAATCCTTAACTGAAATATTAAACCATAAGTTAGTGGTTACTTAATTTTCTACCAAGGAGTATACTTTACTAGAAATCTGGAAAGCACAAAAACCCCATGGGCTTCATGTTCTCCGACTTGCATACTGTAGGTACCTTTGGCCATATTCAGATTGAATGTGTACTGCGTCTCCTGCACCTCCTCCTTCCGGGTCAGGCCCCTGATCTGGTCTCGGAGCTCCTTCAGCTTGATGTAGAAGTGCACCTTGTCCTGTGCACGGGGGAATTGGGCACAACGGGCACTCGAAGATGGCATCAGATAGCAAACCTGGGAGACACAAAGTCAAGTTATCATGCAATGCATGTATAATATGGATATTACTGCTGTATGAGGATCCCCGGTATTTATATGTGCACCCCATCCAAACAAGGGGAATTGCACAGAATCAATTCATGTCTTCGAAAACAAAGAAACAATCTTTGAATCAACCAAGAAATGTATTTTTTTTTCCCCATACCGTCTCTGTTCCAGGAACTTTGTGTGGCTGCAGGCCGAAGTCGAGATTCTTGGGTTTGATGCCAAAAATCTCCTTGCTGAATATTTCATAAATACCTAAAGGCAAACAAAGCAAGGATCTTAAAACAGTGTTTCCCAGCTCGGTCCTCGGGGACTTACAGACGGTCCACGTTTTTGCTCCCTCCCAGATGGTCCACGTTTTTGCTCCCTCCCAGCTCCCTGTCAAATGGTCCACATGGTTGCCCCTTCCCTGCTCCAAATAGGGCAAAAACATGGACTGTCTGCACGTCCCTGAACCTGCCTTAAAATGTTAAACGTTTACTCCACTGAAACTGGACAATACAAAACTACAAATTAAAAAAGTCAAGCTGTCCAGTCGTCGTAAAACTTCAACAAAGTAAAAACAATGCAGCAACTAAAGTGAGTACGTTCATACAAATCCTTACATTTCCCATTGAAGGCCGCTATTAGAGGTTTGTACTTCTGCAGCTTCTCCACCAAAAGTCTGCCTCCTTCTCGAAATTCCTTGCTATAAACAAGGAACACATTATGTCTTGCATAGCCAGGTACCTTAAAACGGTAAGCAGATTCTTACCATCCTACCTTAAAAGATCTTTGCTTCCTGGTGTTGTTCTCTCCACCATATTTGTAAATCCTATCCCATACTTTTCAGGCAGAGTCTGGTCATGCATGTAATTAAACTGAGCATCAGTGAGCCCTGACATAAAGAGGCACTTCCCTGTAACAAACACCATTGAAACATGTTTTAGTAATGACAGTATTCAGAAGGCTCAAGACATGTGTTTAATCACATTACAATCTGGCAGATAATGTGGTTTCCATCTTACAGAAATGATTTCCTGGATTTGGGTAATGATGTCCCACGTAAGCCGACATAAGGCCTGGATTGATTCCAACCTATCAAAGCAATTGCACCATAAAATATATTCAAATAGTTTCAAATAATCACTAGCCATCCATCTTATGCAACATCACAGGGTCAGAAACATCATAAACATTTTAAATACTGACAGTCAGCAAAACACAACATCATAGTACTGGGATGCAAACTCACAATTAAGATGTCAAGGTTGTAGGCAAGGACATCAGGAAGCGTTTTGGCCATGACTTCCTCCACCGACATGCCATTGAAGCGGTCAACTTTCCTCTTGACCTTCTTGAAGCTCTCGTCAATCTTCTCCTGCTGGTTTTCGGCGGACTTGGCCATTTTATTGGACGGTCTTCCCCGCTTTCCTTTTGTGGGAGTTATAAGTTGGGGAAGAAACTTCTCTCAAACTCAGTGGTCAGTGTTTTTCAATAAAAGAAATGTTGGAATGTCCAGACATCAATGTGCTTCTAATAAGGCCAAATATAACACCAATGACTTTTTAATTACACTTGTTTTTTTTAGCAGTTTATTTTGTCCAAAGTGAGAGAAGTGAGGATCAGAGATCTCAATCAGCCATTTCTTGGAGCAACTGCAATTAAGGGACAAATTTAACATACAGAGCCACACATGGCCTCCTGCTTTCCTTAAATATGCAGGTAAAAGAGGCAAGAAACAAAAATCTTGATTTGACAACATGATCATATTCAATGATGTTCAAGACATGCTGTACATTTTAGCAACATTGTGAGAAAAGAGGCTTTGAAATGGTAAACTAGGTGGATTACTCACAGGAAGCAGCTTATATCAGTATGTGTCTGGCGGTAGGTGATATACACCCATCTCCCACCAATCAGCTTCAAGACCTCAGACCTCCCATCACTACTCTACAGAGTCTGGGTTCACTGCACTCACAGATGTGAGGAAGGAACCATTTACCTGGGATGGGTGTGGTGCGAAAGGTCACCCCGGAGGGTGCGATGTTAGGACGTACTTTGCACTGTGGCAGGTACAGGAGGATCCGGGCAGACTGCAGGCTCACAGTGCACAGAGAGATCTTGGTGGGTGGGTGGTTCCTGGTGAACAGCCAGCTCTGTCATCACCTTGTCCTCTGTGGAGTTCTCCATGAAATAACCCGCATTACCCATCTGCTGGTACTGGGTTGCCTGGAGAGCCTGCACATGCTGGGCAGACTGGTACCTATTGAAAAAGACCGATAAAATGAGACGATGTGTACTGATAGCTACAGCCATTGCCTTTAGAAGACGCTTTTAACTTTGCTCCTTGTCATAAATAAACACGAGGGTCGTGCTGTAAGTGTACTGCTACCCTGGTTACGATAAAAGCGTTTTGCACACAAATTGAGATAATATGAAACTCAGATAGCCAAACGCAAGCTCAATATACGCAGATTTCGTCGTACGTTCATCTTGTACCAATACCGCCCCCAAAACGCCCTGCTTTTCGAGAGCAAAAAAAATATTTAATATAGGAAACAGCCGTATCCTTGCATTACAAATTGCAAAGAAAACAACACACCAATAAATAATGCCAAAAGAAAAACCCAAGACGACTCACCAATGTTGAAGGTAATCTGTGGGAATTGTCAAAGGTGAATAGTTATATTCTTCCATTGTTATTGTAGATATTATCATTTACTTTATTGTTGTGATGGTGCCCTTCTTTTTGCGTCAGGGATGTACCGTCTAGTCGCATGTGCTCAGAAAAGCAATCCCCGTAGAACTAGTGTAGTAAACTAACCATATCCCACACTAAAAGCGTTATTTCATTGATCAGACCCGTCTAATGGCAAAGACAATGATAACCAGACAACAGACAGTATGCTGCCAAAGACAAGACACATTATTTTCAATAAAAGGTAATAAAACATATAAATATTAAATAAAACAACATCTAGTAATATCAAAATATTTTTATATTACTGCTGCTCTTTCAAAGATATAAAGATATAAACAACTAGCTAGCTATTCATTGAGAACAGAAAATCAGACAGCGGAAGTACAACCTATGAACAGCAACACGGGAAGATACCAACTCTGAAATATGGGGGACAACACAAGTTAATCTTCTTAATACAAAAGAAACGTTGGATTTTTTTGTACAAATAAATCAAAAACGATAAACTAGTAAATAACTTGCACATAGCGTTCAAATGTCTCGAATTACAAGTATTTTACAATGTTGTGCTCCAGTACATGAAGACGTGCACCCCCATACATTCGTAATTCTAATTAGATGTTTGAACTCTGATGCTTGGTCTTATTGGTCGAATCCATACGAATCCAAGACCACGTGAGGCAAATATGACTTTGAAATATGAACTTCGCTATATCTAAAATATTTAGTAGTTGATACTTCTGCATTTCTGTGTTTAGACAACAATTCACAGAAAAACATCGATATATTAATGCTAATTTAGACATTGGTTATTTTGCTTGTTCTTTGGGCTGGCTGGATACACTGATATATCCGTTACACTACACCGCAATATCTGCCGCAAGCAATATGTTATGAAAAGAAAAAGGAGCCACAAATTTAAAATGCAGATCGTATCTGAATCGTCTGCAGCATCTTAAAACAGTTTTCAGAACACGTAACACTTCGTTGGAAGACATATTGAACTTAAGCGGAACTAAAGAACAGACGGCCGATAACAATTAGGAGGAAATATGGAGGTGCACAATAGTGAGTAGTAAGGGGAATGTCAGAGTTGCGGGAACTGATTCAGAAACAAAAAAATAAAAGCACAAGTACAGGTAATACATAAAAAATTGTGTTTGTTATTAATGTACGGCGAAAAATTGTCGATCGAAAGAGCTCGTTATATTTAGTTCCGTGTGAGATATGTGAAAACGTGGCGTCCTCTAATGTCTCATGTAATACACATTATCTTCCATATCCCGAAGAACTAGTATCACACCCACGAATGATCATATTTGATTCGCATGAGCTCGTTAAGGTGAATACATTTATCGCTGCCAGATTTCCTTCAATACAGAACGCACAACCTTATTACATAGTGTTTCACAAATGATGAAAACTGTAACGATGGTTAACGCCATATGGTTTTGGGTTTACCAGGACACACACCTGAAATATGCCTGCTGGGGTGTCCTGGCCACGCTACCTGAGGATGCTGGGAGCCAGTATCTTAGCCATGTTTGCGGGGGCTGAAGTAGTCCATCGCTACTACCGGCCTGACTTGGTAAGCCACGTCCATTTAAAACCCATCATGGCTTCCACCTTATTACAAATTACGCAACGGATTTGATGCTGGAACCTCATCAAGGTCACAGCATAAGACCACATGCAAACACATCAGACACGGCTTAACAGTTATTTCCCCTCTTAGACAATTCCAGAAATGCCACCCAAACCTGGAGAGCTGAGAACCGAACTGCTGGGACTGAAAAGCCGTCAAGATCCTGGTTCAGAGAAGCAGTGAATCTCCCTTAAAGGTGTATATATGTACATGTTGTTGGCTGAATTAAGTGTAATAAACCATGAATGTGTCAGCAAGAGTGAATATTTAAACTCAGTTTCTGAAGAAAAGAACGTAGTGGATATTAAGATACTTAAACATGAAGGGGCTTTAAGAATCCATAATACATGCAATATGATGTGAAAATACACAAAATGTATACTAATTTGGCAATTCAACATGAACAAAACGTGTTGGTTATATCAGTTTGTATTGCAGGTAATGGCTCTGCTGCAGGTTGTGAATTGTGTTGAAGTTTCCGTTTAGACACCACTCAGACATCCCTTTCCAGAAACATTTAATGGTTCACATGGCAGGATGATCTCGCTCCATAAAAATGGTCAGTTAAATATTAACAAATTTACAGTCATGAGGAATGCTTTTTAAAAAACACAAACAAACCTAGACCAGACAGTCCCTCCCCACCCCCCAGCCACCAGAAACTCCAAGCAGGACACTTGATGGATCTGGCTGAATCTTCAGCGCCCAGCCACATTTCCGTCTTATAGTGCCTTAAAGTTCATCTTTTTCTGTTGAATCCTGTCAAAAAGGAAAGTTTGTTATTGGAGGAGAAACTGGATTCTGATTCCCAGTACAAGTATACAATACTAGCCAACAATCACATTGTAGACAAACCATTAATCTCAGAAGCTCACCATTTCTTCCTCTTTAGTTTCCTCTTCATCCTCAGCCTCCTCTTCCTCAGCTGGTTCCGGTTCTTCTTCTGGCTCCTCCTCCACCTACAGGAACAAAGAACCATTTAAGCCCCATCTCAAAAACCCCCACATCATGCCTTTTGATTTGAGTTATATCTTCTCTTAGCCAATAAGTTCAGTATTTAGATGTACAAGGCCGAAATTATTAGTTGGGGTTGAACTGGATATACATCAAGGTCGAACTACAGATGTTTTAGGAAGAAGGAACTGCACAAAGTAATAGATACTTCATTAAAAGCCATAGCGGTGCCCAGAGAGCTGGGGGTTAAGGGCCTCGCTCAAGGACCCACAGACATGTTGAGGCTGGGTTTCAACCGGTGACCTTCTGATTACAGGCCCACTGAGCCACACACTGCCCCCCAATGGAGATTGCTTGATGAAGCATACCTGCTCTTCAAGGTCCACATTCATACTGAGTCTCAGCATACGCTCTATTCGGTCCCCATAGGCCTTGGTATCAGACAGCTGGTATCCTGAGCGCAGTGTGGCAGTCTCAAACAGCACCACAGCCAAATCGGAAGCCGTCTGGTCTTCAGAGTTGGCCTGCAGACACCATTTAACACACCAAGATTGTTAATACTATAGTTCTGAACAAGCAATTGAAATAGTATTTATTCCAAATATCTCCATCCCTCCCCACTCAATATCCATTCATACATAACCTAATTGCAATGTTCTGCAATACCCGTTTTTCCCTTAAGAGTCATTTCCTCGACTCAATTGTAGCTTGACGCCATACAAATTCAACCCAAACACCTAGAAAGTGCCTTACATCGACACGTTTCAGCATCTCCTTGATAAGTGGATGTTTAGGATTGATTTCCAGTGTTTTCTTCTGACTTGCGTAGTAACTGAAATATAAAATGTGAAGATTAGGATTATTCATATATTTACCAAATATAAGTTGATACCAAAAAGAAAAAAAAAAAGATAAAAACAAAAATTACTTTGTTGAAATGTCCTTTCCTGTCTGGTAGGCCTGAGCTTTCATAATCCTTTCCATGTTACCAGACCATCCATATTGGCTAGCTACAAGTGCACAGGGGGAGCTGGTCAGTCTCTGGGAAAGAACTGCCTTCTCGATCTGAAAAATGGTGTAAGAAATGCCATCACATAGTAGCACAGACAAGGCCATTCATCTCATGAGTTAGAAATTCCTCCAAATTTTGAATTCATTTGTAAAGCCACTCTACTTTATCTTTCAGAGCTTTGTCCTTCATCCAGGTGGTAAGGGGCTCAAATTCCTTTTCCAAAGCCTCCCTTTTCTCCTTGGCTTTATCACTCTCGTCAAACTTTATCCCCTCCTTGGCAACATTCTGGAAGCGCTTTCCATCAAATTCAGGCAGGGCCTGGATGCAGTACTCATCCACAGGTTCTGTCAGGTAGATCACCTCATAGCCCTTCTTCAACAGCTTCTCCACAAAGGGTGAAGACTCAGCCTGAGCAAAACAGTTATTGCAACATTGTAACAATGCACAATAATGCAGATGATTCTGGCACTCATCCTTCACACAGTAGTTGACGTATAGAGCCCAGAAGACACAGTACCTGAAACCCTATGAACCAGATCTACCTCAGTCATTCAAACGAGCTGCTATGATAAATCAAGTTGATAATTCACCTCTTTCCTGCTGGTCCCAGCCATGAAGTAGATCTTGTCTTGCTTCTCCTTCATCCTCTCCACATACTGCTCCAGACTGGATGGTACGGTTTCACTGTGTGACGTCTGGAAGCGGAGCAGCTTGGCAAGGCGCGTTCTGTTGGAGTGGTCCTCAATCACACCCAACTTGATGTTGGTCCCAAACTCTTTCCAAAACTTCTCGTTGTATTGCTCCTCAGCGATCTTCTTGATCATGTCCAGCGTCTTGCGGACAAGCTTCTTGCGAATGACCTATGATGTGTGCAAGGAAATCCAGTCAAGTTTCCATTGTTTAACCACCAGTAGGAAAATCACGTACGATGTGATAAAGGCAATTCTTACCTTAAGCAGTTTGTGTTGCTGCAGCGTCTCTCTGGACACATTCAAGGGAAGGTCATCAGAGTCGACCTAAAGAAAAAATCCTGAGTGTCACCAGAAACTCCACAGCATATTCATATTTGTTTAACTGGGAATTTGCTCAAAAACTGCTAATTAAACCAGAATAGTGAAAAAATGAACAAGATTAACTCACCACACCCTTCACAAAGTTCAGATATTTGGGCATCATGTCATGGAAGTCATCTGTGATGAACACTCGCCTAACAAACAGCTGTTAAGGAAAAATATTGTCAGCCTCCCAATCAAGAAACACTATAGTATGGTACCCGTACCCAAATCCGACATGATACCTTGATGAAGTCATTCTTTTTCGAGCCATACTCGTCAAAGAGACCCCGTGGAGCCGTTGCAGGAACGAAGAGGATGGATTTAAACGTGACTTCTCCCTCAGCAGTAAAGTGGATGTAGGACAGCGGTTCATCCGTGTCCTATTAGACAAACCCTTTTAGAAAAACTGCTTCTACACACACAAGCCATATTATGTGACCAATTTGCATTCCATATAAGGGGGAAGAGGATGGAGACGGGGATGATTAAGAGGGATAACATACCCGGGAGAAGGTCTTGTAAAATGCTTTATATTCGTCTTCTTCCACCTCCTTTGCAGGCCTTTGCCAGATTGGCTTGATATCATTCATCAACTCCCAGTCCCACACAGTCTTCTCAACCTAAACAGCAACATATGGGATGAGAGCTGCAAGTGCATACGAGTTCATGGCATTACAGACATCAGACAGGCCCAGTTGACTCTTGTTTAGAGAAGCACATATCCCACCTTCTTTGTCTTGGGCTTCTCCTCCTTCTCCTCTTCCTCCTCAACCTCAGCCTCATCTTCAGGAGTTTCTTTCTTCTCTGCTGCCTCGTCATCTTCAATAGGCTCCTCCACCGTCTCAGTCTGAGCAAAAACGTTAAAGGGTATTATTTCATGCCAAGCAGGTCTTTCAGGTATTATTTGACTCAAAAGCACATGAACCTCAGCTCATGAGTTACAACCACAAAAATATTTCCAAAAGACATGCTGGTGCATCAGCTGATGTAAGCCACATTCTCACCTTGCTGCTCCAGACATAGATGGGGAAGTTAATGAACTGGGAATATTTCTTCACCAGGTTCTTGATGGTCTCCAGTTCAAGGTAGTCAGACGCCTCCTCCTTCATCACCAAACTATTGGGTGGGAATAGTTGAACATAAACCAGTGGGTTATAGACCAAGGCAACTAACCAGTCTGTAGATGCTTTGGTAAAGCATTCTACTAGGGAGGCAAAGTGACAAGCCGACTCACGTGATAGTGGTTCCCCTCCCTAGGGTATCTCCTCTGGGATCCTCGATGACAGAGAAAGAATTGGAGTCTGACTCCCAGATATGCTGGGTATCATTGTTGTGCTTGGATGTGACAATGACCTTGTCGGCCACCAAGAAGGCAGAGTAGAAGCCCACACCGAACTGCCCAATGAGCTCAGACGTGGACTGGCCATCTGTCTGCATATCTGTCAATTTATTGAGAAACTCGCTGGTGCCAGACTTGGCGATGGTCCCCAAGTTCTTAATCAGGTCCTCTTTCGTCATGCCGATACCAGTGTCAGTGATATGCAACATGTTCTTCTCCTTGTCAGACTATTCAAAACATGAACACAATACAATCAGATCGGATAGCGTGCGAGCCGTATGTATATTGAATCTGCCTTCAGTTTATGAAATCTCAGGATTAACGGCCAAAACCTCAAGACGACAGTGTTCAGGGGGAGGCAAGATTTACCTTGATCTTAATTGTTAGCTCTTCGTTTCCAGCAAGCGCATCTTCATTCGTTAGTGAAATCAGCCGGATCTTATCCAGGGCATCGGAAGCGTTGGAAATCAGTTCTCTGAGGAAGATCTAGAGAACAAAGCACATTAAAACCCAAGAAAACTAAAAACTTTAGCCAATTAGCACAAGACCAATAAACACTTCTATGCCTTAGTTTTGAGACTGACAACCACATTCCCACACAAAGCCAGACAGACACTCACCTCCTTGTTCTTGTACAGAGAGTTAATGATCAGCTTCATCATCCTGTTCACCTCCGCCTGGAAGGCATGTTTCTCTGACTTCTCACGCAGCTCCTTTATCTGAGCCGTGTTCAAGCCATCCAGCTGAATAGCTTCCTCCTCCCTAAAGAGAGGATCCCACAGTCAGTGGCAAGAAAATCCAGTACGTCTCAGGTACTGATAAACAGGTTTGGATCAGCACTGACTTACTGAATCACCTACAGTTACACAAAAACAGTGCCTGACATTCAATTCTCAAATTTTAGCAATAACTGCAGGGGCAAACAGGCAGAGACTGTCGAAGAGAAGAAAGGCCTGAGCCCCAATGTCAATACACTGACCTAACCCCACAAAAAAACAAAGATTTGCATGTTTGAAGATTGAAAGCAGTGTGGGCGGGGAGACAAGAGCTTCCACGCCACCAACGCTTCCCGCATGCTCAGTCACGCAACAAGCACACCAGCTGCATCCGACACAGACCTCTGGACCACCTCGTCATCCGTTCTGGAGCCATCGCGGCTTTTGCCCAGGTCGTCCTCCACCATGCCGTCAACCTCAACATCACTATCCGCTGTGACAGAAGCTGTAAACACAGATAAAATTTACATCCAAGGTATTGTCAGGGGAGACCCTTAAGAACCAGAATATAGCATCGTAACTTCCATTAAGAATCTCATTCAAGCCATCAGTCAATATGGTTATTCTCATTAATATTCAAGGAGGAGTAGCTGCAAATTTTAATTTTGTTCATAAAAACCACAACCCTTAACTCACTGAAGGCCATGCGTGTAAGGACGATAAGACTTATTGTAATAGAGCCAGAAATTTCAGTGACCACATGCTTCAGAGTAGAGGGATCACGTACTGAGTTGTACAGCAAATGGACAAAGCATGTTTGCCGACTTCCAGGCCTTGGGATTTCTTTGAAAGCAGGGCTATCACAAAGAGGATGCCCATAGCACACTACAGGCCTCATAATGCACCCATGCCCATCTTAACGCCCAGAGGACAGGGCACAAACTGACAACAGTTTTTAATAGTTGGCGGCCCGTATAAGAGCCACTTACTTACATTGCAAAACTAAATATTACAAAGCATTTAAAGGCCAGCACCAGCCCAATATGCGTATTTTACCGGTTATATAGAAGCAACCGAACTACGACAAAGCAAACCAAGTAAGCACGGCAAGTCAAACCCACCAAAGAACAAGCGAAGGTAGAGATGCATCTAAATCATATAAACGCAAGAGTAACTGAAATTTTTGTTATAATCGACTAAACATTTGTATGTCTCGTGACGATCTGGTGAACATGGAAGAGTTGCAGAAATAATTGAGAAAAAGCAAATTAAAGCAAGTGCAAGACGACCAGAAAGATTAGCGCGGTTATAAATATCACAGATTCATTGTAAGGTGGGGGGGAAATCAAGGCAAAATACAATCACGCAAAGAAAGAACAGAGCAAGTTAAAGGCTGCTACACCACATGCCATATGCGATTAACGGTACTTACTAAACGCAAGCAAAGCACAGATGAGACCTAATATCCAAAATCGCTTCATCCTTATCAAACCCCCTTACAAAACCTGCAAGGACGGAAAATACAGCCACAGAAAAACCTGAATATCTTCCGGTGATACCCGCAGCAACACTAACACTGCCTTCACCTTTCCTACCAGATTCTATATTATCAAAACTCTGAGCTACCACCGACGAAACACACTAAATGTCCAATCAGGGCATACCACGCACAAAAAGTAACCAATCACAGAACGCTCCGCCAGTCAAGTAAACCAATCACCGGTTTCCATGTCCAACTTTATACGTCGAAATCGTGGCCGATTTCAATTGGCTAAAATGATATATAAAATATCTATGGTGGATTTTTTTCTTACGTGAAACTTTTAGTAATGCATATATGTGCGTCGCGTGTTATAAAGCGGGGTACATTTATAATCTCACGTTAGTAAACCTAAACGAAGTATTTTACACAATAATGAAGTGTAAATTTGTGCCAAATTCGCGTACAACTCCCTTTAACCCATTCATTCTGTCGGCACTATCCGCCGGTAACATTTTCATTCGGAAGAACTGCTGTTATTTAGCAACACTCTTTGTGTTTGTCATATCTGCAGTATATATAATTGTAACTGTACTTACACATTCACAGAGTAATGTTTACGATGTTGTGAACTTTTTTACTTTTAAAATTTTTCTTTTTTCAAGAGTGTAGTGAATCCAAAGAGCATTTCATTGGGACATGTTAGGTTTCACTCTCATCGTGATGCTGTCCATTTGGGGCAACAATGAACGCTGTTTCAGTTGAATTAAGAGAAGTGATCGGTGCATTCAAGACGCGTTTGTGCTCAACAACAAATACAAATCCTTTAGAACCAAAACTAAGCAACACCAAGGTCAGGAAAGTCAAAAGCATGACCACTAATTGCTGTTTTACCCTTCAGCAGTCAATAACAATCAGGAAATTGAAAAAGCATATTTGTGCAACCCCTTTAATTTTTTATCATCAAGATGATTTTTTTTAAATCAATAAGCCTAATGTTTCATTATCAAATATTTCTGCGCATTTATTTTCATTATCCAATCTAAGATAAATTTCATGTGAAATCTTCACGTGTCATTTCAGTGTGGTTAAGGCAATGCTGTTGAATATTTATGGCTCTCCCAACAATCCTAATGTTGGCAAAGAACGTGGTAGTAAATTGCCTAGAGTGTTAAAGTTAAAATTTTGAATTAGTGCACATTCTTTGCTTCAGTTACTTCTTCTAAATAGACGATTGATAAGATATGGTTTCCCCTACTAGAATTTGATCTGTCCATCCATCTTCCTACTGCTTATTCTGGACAGGCTCATGGAAAGTGCCGGGGGAGCTGGACCTTATCCCAGGCATCTCGGGGCACAAGGCAGGGGTACATTTTGGACATGTTGCCGGTCTATTACAAGGTCTGAAAGAGATGACACGTGAAATTTAGTGCGCTGTGGCTTCTGGCTGTACAAATTCAAAGTTCATTGAACAAGAGAGACACAATGCACCTTTAAAATAATTGACGTTAATTAACGTCAACACTACTTCTCTATTAACTGTATGGAGATACGATCCTGAATATAATAATGTCAGTTATGATAATATTTATTTTAACCATATTTAATCTATATTATAGTAACTGAATTATTTATTTATAATTTCATTCATCGTCTATAGGCCTAGTGCTTGTCCTGTTCATGGTAGCGGGGAATATTTAACATAAATCTTTTGCATTTTGAAGTAACATGGCGGTAAATTATAATTTTTAAATATAAATCTTTGAGTGTTGGGTTTGTTACTTCAAATCCCAGATATACTCCTCTGGGAACCTGCTAGGTGAACAGACAGCCATATGACCCATCTCTTCTCTCGAGGTCTGTAGCCTACTGTACTGTACTGTCTGTGGGCTGCGTGGCTGTAACAGCAGGTTTTCAGTCTCTGTCAGTCACATGACACTCTCACATGACTCAGGCAATCTTAATTTAGTCCTGCTTTTGCAGTGGAACATTTTGGGGTTGTGTTACAGAAAACGTTATTCACACGTTATACTTAAAGACCAATCTGTTCTCTAGAGGATTCTCTAAAGAATTTATGGTCTAAATGTCGGAGATCTGTTATATTCAGACAAAGAGACTGTATTAACAGCATTAAAGGATGGATAATATGAACTGCACAATGTAGTGTCTTCAGCCTCATAGAATTTTTTTCCTCTGCTAATACGGCTTTGATCTGCATACATACCATATACCGATAGGCTTATATACACTAAAAATCATGGTTATATAGGAAATAATATATTACACATTGATCACATATTGAAGAGACTGACTCAGACTACTTATATTTTGCCACAAATATTGTGTAGCAGAATTTTAATGTTGCATCGACCGATAGCAGGGGGCGCTGTGACTTCATTGAAACAGACTGATTTAAAACCTTCATGACAAATGGCTAATCTGGGATTTTCTATGCTCCAGGGAGGCAGAGCGGTTCAAGTATTTTTCATGTGAGAATGTCGACACAAAGTTGCCAAGATTTCATATCTAGATTAGGAAACAATTATTAAAAAGTGGTTTACCTTTGATTCGTATACTGCCCTGTACACAAATATTCCAGCGCCACTTGTATATTTGATATAAATGACCGATTACATATTTAAAAGTATGTATTGCACGTTGACGAGGTTGTGTACAGGGGATTCTAGGCAGCAAACTCTTGTTGGTGGGCGTTGATGGCACGGATCCCTCGAGCCTGACAGGCTGTTCTAAATGCAGGAAGTGACGTATTTGGCGTGAGCGAGCCAAGTGATGGGGTTACAGTATATACTCGCTGGGAAGGGGCGAGCCGCGTGCCGTCTCCTGGCCGAGGGGGTGAATGAGATCGCGGTGTAAAGGAGCCATGTCATCCTTAGCTTCGTCCTTTTCGAGCTTCCTCAGAAGCAGGGAGAGCTTACAGAGGCTGGCGACCTTTTCTAACGCCTTGCACTCGGGGGGTACCTGGAAGAGGACGCAGCCGCGGCAGCCCGGGACTCGCTCTACGCCTTATGGACTTGCCGCTGTCGGGGGGATCACTTGTCACCGCTGTCCCCAAAATGCCGAAGCCCTTATAAGCACCAGTGCTTCTGTCATGGGCCAAGACGTGACCGGCTGGCTCTGGTCCATTTATGATGAGACTAAGAAAAAGACTGAAGGTAAGTCAATGCTGCGTGTTTTCGTTCAATGGAGCGACTCGGAATGATCAACATGCGCGGAGGTTAACTGTTTCAGTCGCTTAGAAATAAAACGAGATGTATACGTACTTCATTTTAATCTATATTAAAACAGATCTACTATATCAGTGTCGATATATTTGATCAAGCGGTAGCTACTAGATCGCAGTCATCTTTATCCCTAAACACCTATGTAATGCCGATTGACAGGTGGCATGTCATTTTGCGGAAGGGACAGATCGTGATGTTTCTCAGGGGCACGATGTTTTAAAAGAACACCCCTCCCCTCAATTTCCTCAGAAGATTATTTTTCCGGTTGGGATGACTGGATTTAGAAGCGATGTCTATGTTTATGCACTTATAGAGTCAGTACTGTGCAATGGAGATACCCGAAATATGGAAATTAGCCTCCCTGTGCATCTATAAGTGACACAAAATATATAAACGCAAAATGATTCTCCCGCAGATCTAATTCCTGTGATTTTGAGCAACGCTGTCAATCCCGACACGATCTTCGCCAACAATGAGATGAGTCTCCAGGACATAGAGATCTACGGCTTTGACTACGACTACACGCTGGCGTTTTACTCCAGCCGCCTGCACACGCTCATATTCAGCATCGCCCGGGACATCCTCGTCCAGGAGCACAGGGTGACCCCCTCTCAGTGCTTGTGTGTTTTGTTTCCCTCACAGCCGGCCAGGGTCGGAGGGGGCTCGTCAGACAAATAATCATCGGCAGAAATGATATAATGACAACTTATAGCTATGCAGTTGCTTAAATATTTTTCCACGTTTATTTTTCTGTGTGAGTTCGCTTCTGACAGTGGATGCACAGCGCCTTAGAGGGTGCCTGGAGGCAGAACAGCCATATCGTATGCTGTAACAATACAGAGGAGTATTACATAAGATTAAATCTACCCCTATGAAAACAATACGTGTCATTTAAATAAAAGTGCCGCCATATTGTAAACAGCAGAGTCAAATGACCATTGGACCGTGTTGGTTTTGAGGGCTTTGTTTCAATTTTGTTTTTCTTCTCGTTGTAGTACCCAGAGGGCCTGAAGGAATATGACTATATTCCAGAGTTTGTGATCCGCGGTCTGCATTATGACGTTCAGAAGGTGGGTGTGTCTTTCTCCAGCCTGTCCTTTTCTCCCATAAGGGCTCATTAAGATGATACACTTAAACCTGTCTGTGAGCACCTTGTGTAAATACACCCCTTGGGATTATGGGGAGTGGCTTTCGACATGTAAAAGGATGGATGGAAAATAATTTTGTCCTGATGTTAAAAGCATTCCATAATGGCTTCACACAGTGCTGGTTATTTTAGAGAACACATTCACTGGGGTGGTGAGGTCATCTGTCTCTAATTGTTGCTAAGTGTTGTCCTTTTCAGGCAGAACCTGTTATGTAACCTTCTATCATGTCTTCATTCCTTGATTTAGAGCACAAATGCGTAACATTCTTAAATCCTGGATCATTCTCCTTTGTAGAGGATTCTACAAAGAGACTATTATTACAATGATTTTTAACCAGCCACTTCCTATTGTATATGCATCTTACATATTAAAAGCAGGATGTCATGTCTCACTGCCAAAGTGCATCAGTGATTGCACATACTAAACAATTTTGACAGACTGTAGAACATCTATCTCCTGAACTGTCTTCTCTAGGCCTTACTGATGAAGATTGATGCATTCCACTACATCCAGTTAGGAACAGTATACAGGTATGGGACTGATTATTCACGTTTGTTAGGAACTGTTTTCAGCAATTAACAGGATTTAATCAGGAATCCCATGCAGGTTCA